CAGTCCAGGACCTGTAAATTGGGGTCCCCCCTGTCCTGCACGTGGGGCTTGGGGTCACCCTGACCCATAATTTGGGGTCCCCTCTTTCCCTGACCCACAGATTGGGATCCCCCCAGTCCCGGACAGGGGGTTTGGGGTCACCCTGACCCATAATTTGGGGTCCCCCCAGTCCAGGACCTGTAAATTGGGGTCCCTCCAGTCCCGGACATGGGGTTTGGGGTCACCCCTGACCCATAAATTGGGGTCCCCCCTCTCCCTGACCCACAGATTGGGGTACCCCCTGTCCTTGACCCATAATTTGGGGTCCCCCCTGTTCCTGACCCAGAGATTTGGGGTCCCCCTTGACCCAGACACAGATTTGGGGTCCCCCTGTCCTGGACATGGGATTTGGGGTCACCCTGACCCATAATTTGGGGACCCTCCTGTCCCTGGACATTGGATTTGGGGTCCCCCCTCACCCATAAATTTGGGGTCCCCCCTATCTCGGCCCCCACAGATTCGGGGTCCCCCCCAGTCCCTGCCCCACACATTTGAGGGTCCCCTCTTCCCAAGGCCCCCCAGATTCGGGGTCCCCCCTGTCCCAGCCCCCCCCAGATTTTGGGGTCCCCCAGTTCAGGGTCCCTCCTGTCCCAGCCCACCCCCAGATTTTTGAGGCTGACCTGAATCAGGACCCCCAAATTTGGGGGTTCCTCCTGTCCCTGCCCCACAGATTTGGGGGTCTCCAAACTCCACCCCCAGGTTTGGGGTCCTCCCCCCATCTCCGTTTCATAAATTTGGGGTCCCCCTTTCTCAACCCCTCAGATTTGGGTCTCCCCCGTCCCCACCCCACAAATTCGGGATCCCCCTTTCTCCACCCCTAGATTTGGGGTCTCCACCCCCTCGTGGTCACCCCCTCCCCCCGATTTTGGATCCCCTTCTCCACCCCCGATTTGGGGTCCCCCTTTCCCACCCCACAAATTCGGGCTCCCCTTTCTCAGCCCCCAGATTTTGGATCCCCTCTTTCCCCACCCCCAGATTTGGGGTCTCCCCTCTCCCACTCGTGCTCACCCCCCGATTTGTGGGATGCGCTGTCCCCACCCCCAAAATCCGCGTGTGTTTTCCCCTCCCAAATTTCCGCTCCCACGTCCCAGTTTCGCTCGCGGGGCAGGATTTTGGGTCGCTCCCGGTCACGTGCGGTGCCTCTCCCACCTGTCACCTCCCCTCCCCGTGTCACGTGTCCTCCCCACGTCACGTGTCCCCCTCTCCACGTGACACGCCCCTCCCCCCCATCCCTTCCCCACCACCAGGGGGCGCTGCGGGGCTCGGAGTGGGCGGAGCCTCCGGGAAAAGGAGAAGTGGGCGGGGCGTGGAGGGAGGATCAAAAAGGGAGGAGTGGGCGTGTCCTGGCAGTGGCCCTGCCCCTGCGTGCAGCAGCGCAGCGGCGGCGGCGGCGGCGGCTCCGGGAGCGGCTCCGTGCAGTGAGCGCGGCCCGGGGGAGGGGCGAGGGGAGGAGGAGGGGGAGGGGAGGAGGAGGGGACACGCCCCAGCGGGGACACGGGGGAGGAGGGGAGGGACACGGAGGGAGGGCATTGTGGGATTCGGGGAGGGGCGGGAAAGGATGGGGTGGGAGGGGCTTGTGGGGGCGGGGGAGGGCGTGTGGGCTGGGGGGGGCAGAGAGGGGGTTTGGGGTGGGAGGGGCCTGTGGTGGGGAGGCGGGGCTTTGTGCGGTGGGGGAGGGGCTCGTGGAGCGGTGGGAGGGGCCTGGGGTGGGAGAGGAGGGATGGGGTCTGGGGGGATGGGAGGGGATTGGGTGGGCGTGGGAGGGGCCTGGGGTGTGGGGCGGGGTTATGGGGTGGGAGGGGCTGTTGGGGACGTGGGAGGGACCTGGGGGTTTGGAGGAGGGGCCTGGGTGGGTGGGAGGGGCTGGTGGGAGGAGCCTGTTGAAGGGGGAGGGCCTGATGAGTGGGGGAGGAACCCATAGGAGTGGTGGGAGGAGCCTGATGAGTGGTGGGAGGGGCCTGCTGAGTGGGGGGAGGAGCCCATAAAGTGGTGGGAGGGGCCTGATGAGTGGTGGGAGGAGCCTGATGAGTGGTGGGCGGGGCTGAGGGCCCGATGGGAGGAGCTTGAGGTGCAGTGGGCGTGGCCTGAGCCGCGGTGGGCGGGGCCTGACACATTTGGGCGTGTCCCCGGTGACGGCGGCGCCCCCTGGCGGCGCAGGGCGGCCATGATGGCGGCCGGGCGGGGCCCGGGCGGGAGCGAGGACGGAGCCTTCGAGGAGGAGGAGGAGGAGGAGGAAGAGGAAGAAGAAGAGGAGGAAGAGGAGGAAGAGGAGGAGCGAGCGGTCGGCGGTGAGAGGGGCGTGGCCTCGGGGGGCTGAGGGCGTGGCCTGGGGAGATGTGGGCGTGGCCTGGGGAGATGTGGTGTGGCCTGAGGGCGTGTGGGCGTGGCCAGCACCAGAACCCCGCCTCCTCCAGCTCCCGAGGATGAGGAGTCCGAGTCCGAGGCCACGTCGATGTCGTCGGGAGAGCGTCCCCTCCCCGCCAATGGCTGTGCAGGTACCGCCCCTCCCCACCCCCAGACCACCCCAATGACCCCTCCCCACCCCTTCTTCCCTTTGCCAGCCCTCCCCACCCTGGCCTTTCCCTCATTGACCTGTCACCCTCTCATGCCCCTCCCCACCCTGTCACACCCTTATTGACCCCTCCCCACCCTCCCATAGCCCCTCCCCAACCTGTCACGCCCTGTCATTGATCCCTCCTCCTCTTCCTCCCCTCCCCCACACTTTCTCCCTCTCCCCACCACCAAATCCCCTTTCTCCCCCCACTGACCCCTCCCCTCATTTTCCCCTCTCCCCACAGGTGCCTGGACCCGCCTCGAGGGAGGAGCTTCGGCCGTTCCCGGACGCCGCGGGGAGGGGGAGCCCGTGGCGGGTGGGGGAGGGTCGAGCCCGGCGGGGGAGGAGTCTGGGGCGGCCGCCGCGGCGGGGAGGGGCGGGGGGAGGGAGTGGCACAAGTGCCCCGAGTGCGGGCGGGGCCGGCACCTCCCGGGCGCTCAAAGTGCACCGCAGCTACCACGTGGGGCGCAAGCGGCCCAGGGACACGCCTCGCCCCCGCGGGGAGGGGCCAGAGAGGGAGGAGTCACCGCCGCCGCCACGCCTCCCCGCCCCGGCGGGCCCTCTCCCCTTCAAGTTCCACTACATCTGCGCCGAGTGCGGGCTGGGCTCGCGCCCCGCGGCGCCGAGCCCACCGGTGCGAGCACGGCCGGCGCCGCCGCCCCGCAGCCCCCGGGCCCTCCCCGCCCCCACGCCGCCCCCGCCGCGCCGCCCGGCCCCTCCCCACCCTCGCCCCTTCCGCTGCACCGAGTGCGCCGGCGCCTTCGGCCTTGTGGCCGAGCTGCACGAGCACTACATGCTGCACGCACGGGGGGAGCTCTGACACGCCCACCCGATGGGGGACACGCCCACCGGGGACACGGGGGACACGCCCACCCACCGAGGGACACGCCCACCTGTCAGGGGACACACCCACACGGGTGGGGATACGCCCACCCCCCACGGGACACGCCCACCCGGGTTGGGACACGCCCACCCTGCCACGGGGGACACGCCCACATGGGGGGTGGCACACCCATCTGGGTGCAGACACGCCCACTCACCCTGGGGACACGCCCACCTGGGTGGGGACACGCCCATCCACTATGGGACACACCCACCTGGGTGGGAACACACCCACCTACCCAAGGGACCCACCCACCCACCCAAGGGACCCACCCACCCAGGTGGGGACACGCCCATCCACTATGGGACACGCCCACCTGGGTGGGGACACGCCCACTCGCCCAAGGGATCCACCCACCCAGGTGGGGACACACCCACCCACCCAGGGACACGCCCACCTGGGTGGGGACACGCCCACCCGCTCAAGGATCCGCCCATCCCGCCCTCTCGCCCCAAACGCGGCCCGGGGGAAGGGAGGAGAAGGGTCGGGTGATGACGTCACTGGGTGGGTGAAGGAAGGGGTTGGGTGACGTCATGGGAGGGGTGACGTCATGGGGGGGGTGTGGTGACGTCATCGGAGTGGTTTTAAAGTCGCCACGCGGGGTGTGATGTCATCAGGCGGAGCTGTGATGTCATCAAGGCAGGGTGTGATGTCATCAAGACGGGGTGTGGTGTCATCAGGCGGGGTTGTGATGTCATCAATGCAGTGGTGATGTCATCAATGATGTCACCGAGGAGGCGGGACTGTGATGTCGTGGGGCGTCGGGGGGGAAGGGGGGGGTGGCGTGGTATGTGTGGCCGTGAAGGATGTGATGTCATCAACAGGATGTGATGTCATAAGACAAAGGGCGTGGTGTCGTCGTTGTGGCAGCGATGTCATTGGCCAGGGTGGGAGTGACATCATCGGGGCCCTCCCCACCCCCCATTCGCCATCGAGACACGGGGGGTGGGGGTGTGACGTCATCGAGAGGAGTGACATCATAGTAGGGGGTGTGATGTCATTCTCCAGCTCCACCCCCAATCCGTGACCCAACCCCCCATAAAATGACATCATCAACCCCCCCCTTAAACCCAACCAATCAGCAGCCGCCACAAGTGCCACCCACCAGCAGGGGGCGCCAGAGCCAGAAAAAGCCACGCCCCCTCCAAAACGAGCCACGCCCCATTTATTGACCACACCCCCTCTGCAATAACCACACCCTTTTAAATAAGTCACGCCCCCTCCCCACAGGCCCCTCCTCAGAGCTCCCCGGGCATGCGGGGACCCCCCTACAGCCCCCTCCCCTCAGAGCCCCTCCCTCAGAGCTCCCCCGGGCGTGCCGGATGTAGTGCTGGTGTGGGACCCCCTCATGGACCCTCTCTCCTCAGAGCCCCCTCCCCACAGCCCTCTCCTCAGAGCCCCTCCCCTCACAGCCCTCCCTCAGAGCCCCTCCTCAGAGCTCCCCGGGCGTGCTGGATGTAGTGCCAGTGTGGGAGCCCCCCTCAGAGCTCCCCTCACAGCCCCCTCCCCTCAGAGCCCCCTCCCCTCAGAGCCCCCTCCCCTCAGAGCTCCCCCCGGGCGTGCCGGATGTAGTGCCGGTGCAGAGCCCCCTCCCTGGCGAAGGCGCGGCCGCACTCGGTGCATGCCAGGCCAGGTGGGGGCGTGGCCGGACGGGGGGCGTGTCCTTTGGGCGTGTCCCGGTGGGGGGTGTGTCCCTTGGGTGTGTCTGGGTGGTGTGTCCCTTGGGTGTGCCCAGGTGGGCGTGTCCCCTGGGCGTGTCCCGGCGGGCGTGTCCCCTGGGCGTGTCCCTGGGCGTGTCCCGGCGGGCGTGTCCCCTGGGCGTGGCCCTGTGGGCGTGTCCCCTGGGCGTGTCTGGGTGGGCGTGTCCCCTGGGCGTGTCCCTGGGCGTGTCTGGGTGGGCGTGTCCCCTGGGCGTGTCCCTGGGCGTGTCCCTGCGGGCGTGTCCCCGCTGGTGGCGCAGCAGGGCGGGGGAGGAGCCGAAGGGGCGGGCGCAGACGAAGCAGACGAAGAGGGCCCCGCGCAGCGCGGCCGCCGCGAAGTCCCGCGGGTGCTGCCGCTTGGCGTGGCGGGCGGCGAAGGCGGCGTCGGGGAACGTGATCAGGCAGTGACCACAGTGTCTGGAGCCAACCTTATCTGAGGGGACACAGGGACAGGGGGTCAGCCATGGGGTCACAGAGGGGTCACACAGGGACAGGGGACACACACACAGCAGGGACATTGGCGAAGGCGGCGTCGGGGAACGTGATCAGGCAGTGACCGCAGTGTTTGGAGCCAAGCTTATCTGAGGGGACAGAGGGGACAGGGGGGTCACACAGGGGTCACAGGGACATGGAGGGGTCACACAGGGACAGGGAGGTCGGGGAACGTGATCAGGCAGTGACCGCAGTGTTTGGAGCCAAGCTTATCTGAGGGGACAGAGGGGACACAGGGTCAGCCATGGGGTCACACAGGGACAGGGGACACACACACAGCAGGGACAGCAGCAAAGGCGGCGTCGGGGAACGTGATCAGGCAGTGACCACAGTGTTTGGAACCAAGCTTATCTGAGGGGGCACAGAGGGGACAGAGGGTCAGCCATGGGGTCACACAGGGACATGGGGGGGTCACACAGGGGTCACACAGGGACAGGGGTCACACACACAGCAGGGACAGCGGCGAAGGCGGCGTCGGGGAACGTGATCAGGCAGTGACCGCAGTGACGGGAACCCACCTTGTCTGAGGGGACAGAGAGGACAGGGGGTCAGCTATGGGGTCACAGAGGGGTCACACAGGGACGGGACACACACACAGCAGCGAAGGCGGCATCGGGGAACGTGATCAGGCACTGACCACAGTGACGGGAACCGACCCTGTCTGAGGGGACAGAGGGGACAGGGGGTCAGCCATGGGGACAGGGGGTCAGCCATGGGGACAGGGGGGTCACACAGGGACATGGGGGGGTCACACAGGGGTCACACAGGGACAGGGGGTCACAGCACAGCAGGGCACACGGGACAGGCGGCGTCGGGGAACGTGATCAGGCAGTGACCACAGTGACGGGAACCGACCTTATCTGAGGGGGGACAGAGGGGACAGGGGGTCAGCCATGGGGACATGGGGTCACACAGGGGTCACAGGGACATGGGGGTCACACAGGGGTCACACAGGGACAGGGGGGTTGGGGAACGTGATCAGGCAGTGACCGCAGTGTTTGGAGCCAACCTTATCTGAGGGGACACAGAGGGGACAGGGGGTCAGCTATGGGGACAGGGGGTCACACAGGGACAGGGGGGTCGGGGAACGTGATCAGGCAGTGACCGCAGTGACGGGAACCGACCCTGTCTGAGGGGACAGAGGGGACAGGGGGTCAGCTATGGGGGTCACACAGGGGTCACACAGGGACAGGGGTGTCAGGGAACGTGATCAGGCAGTGACCGCAGTGACGGGAACCAAGCTTATCTGAGGGGACAGAGGGGACAGGGGTCACGCAGGGGTCATGGGGGGTCACACAGGGGTCACAGGGACATGGGGGGTCACACAGGGACAGGGGAGCCCACTCGAGGGGGATTCAGCCACCCCTAGGGGGACACGGAGGTCACACGGGGGACGGGGTCAGCCATGGGGGTCACACATGGGGGTCACACACGGGGACCCCTGGGACACCCCCAGGGACCCCAAAGGGACACTCAGAGATCCCCACAGAGACCTTAAACAGTCTGGGGGGACACCCCTGGGACCCTCTCAGGGACCCCCAAAAACTCCTCCAAGGGACCCTCCCAACTTCCCCCTCCCCAAAGAGCCCCCAAAACCCCCAGTTCTGCCCCCTCCCCCACTCACAGACGGAGCCCTCGGCCCGGGGCTGGGGGTCCCTGGGGTCCCTGCCCCCTTCCTCCTCCTCCTCCTCCTCCTCCTGCTGCTGTCGCCGCCGGGGGCCCGGGGCCTGGGGCTGACATCCCGGGGGCTTCGGGGGTGGGGAGGAGGAGTCACCCCGGGGGTCCTGAGACCTTCCCGCACCCTCTCCCCCGAAATCCACCCCTGAGGACCCCCAAACAAACAGACCCCAAAGACCCCTCACCCCCTTCAGCCCCTCAGAGACCCCCAGGTTCCAATTTCCCACCCAGACCCTCCAACCCTCCCCGCCCCCTCAAATCCCCTCTGAACCCCCCCCCAAAGACCCTTGAACCTGAGCCCCCAACACTCCCAGGACCCAAGCCCCCAAGGACCCCCATTCCCCCAGACGCCCAGACCCCAAATCGCCCTCAGGACCCCCAAGACCCCCAGGACCCCCAAACCTCCCAATCCCTCGCATCCTCACTCGCTCGCCGCCCGCGCTCCCCCGGCGGCGACTTCCGGCTTCCGGCGCGACCCGGAAGCGCTTCCGCGTCTGCTTCCGGTCCGAGAGGCCCCGCCCACAGCGAGGCACCGCAGGGGGCGGTGTCTTTGTCATGTGACGTCATCGAGAGCCAATGGGGGAAAGGGGGCGTGGCCACGGAGCCCGCAGAGTGGGCGGAGCTTGGCGGTGCGGGAGGCGCCCCCTGGTGGCCGAGGAGGGAACCGCGGGGACCTCCCAGTTTAAACCAGTTAGACCCCAGTATGGGACTGGGACCCCAGTTTAAACCAGTAACCCCAGTATGGAACTGGGACCTCCCAGTTTAAACCAGTGACTCCCAGTTCCGAGGTAACCCCTTCCCTTCCCCTCCCAGTGCCCCCCAGTCCCTCCCAGTGCCCCCAGTCCCTCCCCATCCCCTCCCAGTGCCCCCCAATGCCCTCCCAGTGCCCCCAGTCCCCTCTCTATCCCCCCCAGTCCCTCCCCATCCCCTCCCAGTGCCCCCAATGCCCTCCCAGTGACCCCAGTTCCCTCCAGTGCCCCAATGCCCTCCCAGTGACCCCAGTGCCCTCCCAGTGCCCCCTAATCCCTCCCAGTGCCCCCCAGTGACCCCAGTGCCCTCCCAGTGCCCCCAGTCCCCTCCCAGTCCCTCCCAGTGCCCCCAGTGCCCGGCGGGTACGAATCGGGGGTTTTTATTGCGTATCAAAGGTGGTTAAAAGGTTATTTACAGCCACGCCCGCGCGAGGCGGCCACGCCCCTCATACATTATTCATGACCCGCCCCCTCCCCTCCCCCCACCCCCTTTGTGCGCGGGGACACGGACACGCCCTCCCCACCCCCTCATGGCTTTCGGCGTTTTTGGGGGAGGGGACACCTAGGATCGGGCCCCTCCCCACCCGGGGGGGGGCACGGAGGCTTGTGTGGGTGGGCAGGGCTTGTGTGGAGGCAGTGGGCGGGCGAAGCTTGGCCCCAGCCCTGCAGCAGCCCCTGGGCCCACCTTTGTGTCCCCTATCCTGTCCCCATCCGTTGTCCCCACAGTGTCCCTCCCCAAAATGTCCCCCTTTTGTCACTCTGGGTCCCCCCCATCCCCATCTCTGTCCTCTGTGCTGTCCCCCAGTGTCACCCCTGGCCCCTCCCCCACGACGTTCTCTGGCCCTCGTTGTCCCCCTGTCCGGCCCTCCCCCAAACTTTCCCGTCCCCTCCGTCCCCACGATGTCCCCAAATGTCCCCCAATGTCCCCCATGCTCCCCCTCATTTCCCCCATCCTGAATGTCCCCTGCCCCTCCATCCCGTGTCCCCAATGTCCCCCAATGTCACCCCGTGTCCCCATCCCAAAAGTCCCGTGTCCTCCCCAGTGTCCCCCAAGTCCCCAATGTCACCCCAGTGTCCCTCACGCTCCCCATCCCGGATGTCCCCTGTCCCTCCATCCCTGTCCACCAATGTCCCCCCATGTCCCTCCTTGTCCCCAATGTCCCTCCCCAGCCCCCAATGTCCCCCAATGTCCCCAATGTCCCCCCAGCCCCCAAGTCCCCAATGCCACCCCCATGTCTCCAATGTCCCCCCATGTCCCCCCATGTCCCCAATGTCCCGCATGTCCCCCCAATGTCCCAATGTCCCCATGTCCCCAGTGTCCCCCCAATGTCCCCCATGTCCCCCATGTCCCCCAGCCCCCATGTCCCCAATGTCCCCTCAATGTCCCCCAGCCTCCCAGTGTCCCCCTCATATGAAGAACTCCTCCTTTGCTTGCCGGGCTCCCCCAGGAAAGCCTCTCGGGCCTCCCGTGCTCCTCCAGCCCGCTCGCCTCGTGCGTCAGGTACGACCCTGCGGACACGCCACCCTCAGGACACGCCCACCCTCAGGACACGCCCACCCACTCGGGACACGCCCACCCACTCAGGACACGCCCACCCTCAGGACACGCCCACCCTCGGGACACGCCCACCCTCAGGACACGCCCACCACTCAGGACACGCCCACCCTCAGGACACGCCCACCCATGACACGCCCACCCACTCAGGACACGCCCACCCTCAGGACACACCCACCCTCTTAGGACACACCCATCCTCGGGACACGCCCACCCACTCAGGACACGCCCACCTCGGGACATGCCCACCCACTCAGGACACGCCCACCCACTCAGGACATGCCCACCATCGACACGCCCACCCTCAGGACACGCCCACCCTCGGGACACGCCCACCCACTCAGGACACGCCCACCCACTCAGGACATGCCCACCCTCAGGACATGCCCACCCTCAGGACACGCCCACCCACTCAGGACATGCCCACCCCTCAGGACACGCCCACCCTCAGGACACGCCCACCCACTCAGGACACGCCCACCCTCGGGACACGCCCACCCACTCAGGACATGCCCACCCCTCTCAGGACACACCCACCCACTCAGGACACACCCACCCCACCTCAGGACACGCCCACTCCTGTCAGACCACACCCATGCCCATGTCACCTCATCCCTCCCCCCACACATCCAGACCACACCCACAGAGACCACACCCGCACCCGCCCATGCCATGCCCACCCCAACCACACCCACCCCACCCCACCCACCCCACCACACCCATCCAACCACACCCAGTTTGACCACACCCATCCACCCCAACCACGCCCACCCTGACCACGCCTATTCTAACCACACCCACCTTGACCACACCCACCCAACCACACCCACCCCGGCACACCCATTCTAACCACACCCACCACACCACACCCAACCCGACCACACCCACCCCACCACACCCATGCCAACCACACCCACCCTGACCACACCCATTCTAACCACACCCACCCCACCCAGTTTGACCACACCTACCCAGCCACCCCAACCACACCCACCCCAACCACACCCACCCCGACCACGTCCCCTGGCCACACCCACCTTTCCACCACACCAAGCACCAGACGAGGGCCCCACCCACAACCACACCCATCCCAACCACACCCACCCTGACCACACCCACCCTGACCACGCCCCCTGACCACACCCCCGGCCACACCCACCTTTCTGGCGCACGGAGCACCAGACGGGGCCCCACCCACAACCACACCCACCCTGACCACGCCCCCTGACCACGCCCCCGGCCCCACCCACCTTTCTGTCGCACGGAGCACCAGACGAGCGCCCCCAGCAGCAGCAGCAGCAGGAACACCAGCAGGGCCAGGGCCCCGCCCACCACCGCGAACGGCCCCGCCCCCTGCGCCGCCACCACCGCCCCGGGGTCTGCGGGGACACCGCGGGGACGGCGTCACCAGGGGACACCGGGGGGGCACCCACACAGCACCCAGAGCCCCCGGCCATGGGGACACCGGGGCACCACACAGCACCCACAGCCCTGCCCTGGCCATGGGGACACCGGGGCACCACACAGCACCCACAGCCCTGCCCTGGCCATGGGGACACCGGGGGGGCACCCACACAGCACCCACAGCCTGCCCCTGGCCATGGGGACACCGGGGGGGCACCCACACAGCACCCACAGCCCTGCCCTGGCCATGGGGACACCGGGGGGGCACCCACACAGCACCCACAGCCCCCCCCAGCCACGGGACACGAGGGATGGGCAGGAGGGGTGGCCCTGGGGACACCGGGGGGGCACCCACACAGCACCCACAGCCCCCCCCCGGCCATGGGGACACCGGGGGGGCACCCACACAGCACCCACAGCCCTCCCTGGCCATGGGGACACCGGGGGGGCACCCACACTGCACCCACAGCCCCCCCCGGCCATGGAACATGAGGGATGGGGAGCAGGGGTGGCCATGGGGACACCGGGGGGGCACCCACACAGCACCCACACAGCACCCACAGCCCTGCCCCGGCCACGGAACATGAGGGACGGGGAGCAGGGGTGGCCCTGGGGACACCGGGGGGGCACCCACACAGCACCCACAGCCCTGCCCTGGCCATGGGGACACCGGGAGGGCACCCACACAGCACCCACAGCCCTGCCCTGGCCACGGAACACGAGGGACAGGGAGCAGGGGTGGCCCTGGGGACACCGGGGGGGCACCCACACAGCACCCACAGCCCTCCCCCAGCCACGGAACACGAGGGATGGGGAGGAGGGGTGGCCCTGGGGACACTGGGGTGGCCATGGGGACATCGGGGTGGCCATGGGGACCCTGTGGGGGGCACTGGGTGGCCCTGGGGACACCGGGGTGGCCATGGAGGATCCTGGGGTGGCCCTGGGGACACCGGGGGGGCACCCACACAGCACCCACAGCCCGGCCACGGAACATGAGGGACGGGGAGGAGGGGTGGCCATGGGGACACCGGGGTGGCCATGGAGGATCCTGGGGTGGCCCTGGAGGATCCTGGGGTGGCCCTGGGGACACTGCAGGTGGCCTTGGAGGATCCTGGGGTGGCTGTGGTGACACTCTGGGTCACCCCATGGGTGGTCCTGGAGACCCCATGGGTGGCCGTGGTGACCCTGTAGGTGTCCCCGTGGGTGTCCCTGTGGGTGTCCCCATGTATGTCCTATGGGTTTTCCTGTGGGTGTCCCATGGGTGTCCCCAATGTCCCCATATGTGTCCCATGTGTGTCCCCGTGTGTGTCCCCAGTATCCCCGTGTGTATCCCCATGTGTGTCCAATGTGTGTCCCACGGGTGTCCCCGCTGTCCCTGTGTGTGTCCCCATGTGTGTCCCATTGGTGTCCCCAATGTCCCCGTGTGTGTTCCCATGTGTGTCCCATGTGTGTCCCATGGGTGTCCCCAGTATCCCCATTGGTGTCCCCATGGGTGTCCCATGGGTGTCCCCGTGTGTGTCCCCGAGGGTGGCACTGACCGTACACGACGAGCACGTAGTGGTCAGCGGCTCGGCCGTGGGCGTTGCCGGCGTGGCAGGTGTAGGTGCCGTTGTCCTGCGGGGCCAGCGCCGGCAGCGTCAGCCGCTCGCCCTCGGCCCGGGCCCGCGGGGGCAGCGACTCATTGCCACGGCTCCACCACACCTCCGTGGGGCTGGGGACACAGGGGACTGTCACATCATTGTCACCTCCCTGTCACCTCCCTGTGACCCCCTGTCACCCTCCTGTAACCTGTCACCCCCTGTCCCACTCGCCCTCGGCCCGGGCCCGCGGGGGCAGCGACTCATTGCCACGGCTCCACCACACCTCCGTGGGGCTGGGGACACAGAGGGGACTGTCACCACAGTGTGACATCATTGTCACCTCCCTGTGACCCCCTGTCACCCTCCTGTAACCTGTCACCCCCTGTCCTGCTCGCCCTCGGCCCGGGCCCGCGGGGGCAGCGACTCATTGCCACGGCTCCACCACACCTCCGTGGGGCTGGGGGGCACAGGGGGGACTGTCACACTCATTGTCACCTCATTGTCACCTCCCTGTGACCCCCCTGTCACCTCCTGTCAACCCCTGTCACCCCCTGTCCCTCTCACCCACGGGGGCTGCGACTCATTGCCACGGCTCCACCACACCTCCGTGGGGCTGGGGGGCACACAGGGGGGACTGTCACCACAGTGTGACATCATTGTCACCTTCCTGTGACCCCCCTGTCACCTCCCTGTGACCCCCCTGTCACCTCCTGTCACCCTCCTGTCACCCCCTGTCCCGCTCACCCGCGGGGGCAGCGACTCATTGCCACGGCTCCACCACACCTCCGTGGGGCTGGGGACACGGGGGGGACTGTCACACCATTGTCACCTCCCTGTCACCTCCCTGTGACCCTCCTGTCACCCCCTGTCCCGCTCACCCACGGGGACAGGGACTCATTGCCACGGCTCCACCACACCTCCGTGGGGCTGGGGGCACAGGGGGGACTGTCACCACAGTGTGACATCATTGTCACCTCATTGTCACCTCCTGTCACCCTCCTGTCACCTCCTGTCCCCCTCCTGTCACCCCCTGTCCCTCTCACCCACGGGGGCAGCGACTCATTGCCACGGCTCCACCACACCTCCGTGGGGCTGGGGACACGGGGGGACTGTCACATCATTGTCACCTCCCTGTGACCCTCCTGTCCCCTCCTGTCCCCCCTGTCCCCCTGTCCCCGTCACCCACCGTGGGTTCCCGCTGACGGCGCAGGTCAGCACCAGGGTGTCACCTTCGCGCAGGACGTTCTGGGAGGGGACAATCCGTGCTGAGGGGGGGTCTGGGGGGACTACAGGGGTGTCACCTCCTGGGGACACCGGGGAGCCCCCCCAGTGCCACCCAGTCCCTCCCAGTGCCCCCCAATCCCCTCCCAGTCCCTCCCAGTGTGCCCCAATCCCTTCCCAATCCACCCACACTGCACGTCCAGCTGGTACTGGGTCTGGCAGTGCTGTGTCCCCTCATGTCCCCAGTCCCTCCCAGTGCCCCCAATCCCCCCCAGTGCCTCCCAGTGCCCCCAGTGCACCACACTGCACGTCCAGCTGGTACTGGGTCTGGCAGTGCTAGTCCCCAGTCCCCCAGTCCCTCCCAGTGCCCCCAGTGCTCCCAGTGCACCCACACTGCACGTCCAGCTGGTACTGGGTCTGGCAGTGCTGTGTCCCCCTGTGTTCCCAGTCCCTCCCAGTCCCTCCCAGCACCCCCAGTGCACCCACACTGCACGTCCAGCTGGTACTGGGTCTGGCAGTGCTGTGTCCCCTATGTCCCAGTCCCCCAGTGCCTCCCAGTGCCTCCAGTGCACCCACACTGCACGTCCAGCTGGTACTGGGTCTGGCAGTGCTGTGTCCCCAGTCCCCCAGTCCCTCCCAGTGCCTCCCAGTGCCCCCAGTGCACACACACTGCACGTCCAGCTGGTACTGGGTCTGGCAGTGCTGTGTCCCAGTCCCTCCCAGTGCCCCCCAGTCCCTCCCAGTGCACCCACACTGCACGTCCAGCTGGTACTGGGTCTGGCAGTGCTGTGTCCCCAGTCCCTCCAGTGCCCCCCAGTGCTCCCAGTGCACCCACACTGCACGTCCAGCTGGTACTGGGTCTGGCAGTGCTGTGTCCCTGTGTTCCCAGTCCCTCCCAGTGCCCCCCAGTGCTCCCAGTGCACCCACACTGCACGTCCAGCTGGTACTGGGTCTGGCAGTGCTGTGTCCCCAGTCCCCCCAGTCCCTCCCAGTGCCCCCAGTGCACCCACACTGCACGTCCAGCTGGTACTGGGTCTGGCAGTGCTGTGTCCCCAGTCCCTCCCAGTGCCCCCCAGTGCCCCCAGTCCACGCACACTGCACGTCCAGCTGGTACTGGGTCTGGCAGTGCTGTGTCCCCAGTCCCTCCCAGTCCCTCCCAGTGCCCCCAGTGCACGCACACTGCACGTCCAGCTGGTACTGGGTCTGGCAGTGCTGTGTCCCCTGTCCCTCCCAGTCCCTCCCAGTGCCCCCAGTCCACGCACACTGCACGTCCAGCTGGTACTGGGTCTGGCAGTGCTGTGTCCCCTGTCCCTCCCAGTGCCCCCCAGTGCCCCCAGTGCACCCACACTGCACGTCCAGCTGGTACTGGGTCTGGCAGTGCTGTGTCCCCCTGTGTCCCCAGTCCCTCCCAGTGCCCCCCAGTGCCCCCAGTGCACCCACACTGCACGTCCAGCTGGTACTGGGTCTGGCGGCGCTGTGTCCCCAGTCCCTCCCAGTGCCCCCCAGTGCCCCCAGTGCACCCACACTGCACGTCCAGCTGGTACTGGGTCTGGCAGTGCTGTGTCCTCCTGTGTCCCCAGTCCTCCCAGTGCCCCCAGTGCACCCACACTGCACGTCCAGCTGGTACTGGGTCTGGCAGTGCTGTGTCCCCAGTCTCTCCCAGTGTCCCCAGTCCCTCCCAGTGCCCCCCAGTGCCCCCAGTCCACCCACACTGCACGTCCAGCTGGTACTGGGTCTGGCAGTGCTGTGTCTCCCTGTGTCTCCCAGTCCCCCAGTGCCCCCCAGTGCCCCCAGTGCACCCACACTGCACGTCCAGCTGGTACTGGGTCTGGCGGCGCTGCCCCCGGCCCAGGGCGGGGTGTGTGGCCTCGCAGGTGACGATGGCCCCGTGGTCCCTGCGCTCCACGCGCAGCCTCAGCACGCTGCGCTGCCAGAACACCTTCCCCTGCTGCTCACGGGTGCTGTGGCCTGGCACGGGCACAGGGACAGGGGACATGGGGACAGGGGACATGGGGACAGGGGACAGGGGGACAGGGGACAGGGGACAGGAGGACAGGCAGGACATGGGGACAGGGGACAGGGGACATGGGACATGGGGACAGGGGACAGGGGACAGGGGACAGGGGGACAGGGGGACATGGGGACATGGGGACAGGGGACAGGGGGACAGGGGGACACACAGGGACAGGGGGACAGGGGGACAGGGGACATGGGGACAGGGGGACATGGGGACAGGGGACACGGGACAGGGGACATGGGGACAGGGGGCACACAGGGACAGGGGAACATGGGGACAGGGGACATGGGGACAGGGGACACGGGACATGGGGACAGGGGACAGGGGACAGGGGACATGGGGACAGGGGACAGGGGGACAGGGGACAGGGGGACAGGGACAGGGGACAGGGGACAGGACAGGGGACAGGGGACATGGGGACAGGGGGACAGGGACAGGGACAGGGGACAGGGGACAGGGGGACAGGGGACAGGGGGACAGGGGGACAGGGACAGGGGACAGGGGACAGGGGGACAGGGGACAGGGGACATGGGGACAGGGGGACAGGGGACATGGGGACAGGGGACAGGGACAGGGGACAGGGGGACAGGGGGACAGGGGACATGGGGACAGGGACAGGGGGACAGGGGACATGGGGACAGGGGACAGGGGACAGGGACAGGGACAGGGGACAGGGGACAGGGACAGGGGACAGGGGACAGGGACAGGGGACAGGGGACAGGGGACAGGGGACATGGGGACAGGGGGACAGGGGACAGGGGGACAGGGGACAGGGGACAGGGGACAGGGGGACAGGGGACAGGGGACAGGGGGACAGGGGGACATGGGGACAGGGGACAGGGGACATGGGGACAGGGGACAGGGGGACAGGGGACAGGGGACAGGGGACAGGGGACATGGGGACAGGGGGACATGGGGGACAGGGGGACAGGGGGACAGGGGACAGGGGGACAGGGGACATGGGGACAGGGGTACACAAAGACGAGGGACAGCGACAAGGGGACACGTGGACAAGGACAGGAACACAGGTACAGGGGGACAGTATGTCCCATGTCCACCCCCAGGTGCTCCCTGTCCCCCAGTGTCCCCCCAGTGTCCCCAGGTGTCCCTCACCTGGCAGCTCGCGGCGGTCGCGGTACCAGCGCAGCGTGGCGGGGGTCCCTCCCTGTGTCCTCTGTCCCCACCATGTCCCCCAGTGTCCCTGTCCCCCCCATGTCCCCCATGTCCCCCATGTCCCCCAGTGTCCCCTGTCCCCCCATGTCCCCCCATGTCCCCCAGGTGTCCCCTCACCTGGCAGCTCGTGGCGGTCGCGGTACCAGCGCAGCGTGGCGGGGGTCCTCCTGTGTCCCCTGTCCCACCATGTCCCCCCAGTGTCCCCTGTCCCCCATGTCCCCCATGTCCCCCAGGTGTCCCCTCACCTGGCAGCTCGCGGCGGTCGCGGTACCAGCGCAGCGTGGCGGGGGTCCCTCCTGTGTCCCTGTCCCCACCATGTCCCCCATGTCCCCTGTCCCCCAGGTGTCCCCAGGTGTCCCCTGTCCCCCAGTGTCCCCATATCCCCCATGTCCCCCCAGGTGTCCCCTCACCTGGCAGCTCGCGGGCGGTCGCGGTACCAGCGCAGCGTGGCGGGGTCCTCCTGTGTCCCCTGTCCCCACCATGTCCCCCCATGTCCCCCCAGTGTCCCCTGTCCCCCAGTGTCCCCAGGTGTCCCCATGTCCCCTCCAGTCGTCCCCATGTCCCCCAGGTGTCCCCAGGTGTCCCCAGGTGTCCCCTCACCTGGCAGCTCGCGGCGGTCGCGGTACCAGCGCAGCGTGGCGGGGTCTGGCGCGGGGCACGAGGCAGCTCAGCTCCACCTCCCCCTCCACTGCCAGAGCCCCCTGCCTCGACCACCGGCGCCTCGGGGGCACTGCGGGGACACGGGGGGACACAGGGGACACTGGGGACACCAGGACACACGGGGGCACAGGGATGGGGAACACAGGGACACACAGGGATGGGGGACATGGGGGACATACAGGGAGACACGGGGGAACACAGGGGACACACAGGGGTTGGGGGGGACACAGGGGACACACAGGGATGAGGGGGACACAGGGGGACACAGGGGATGGGGGACACAGAGGGGACATGGGGACACACGGGGATGGGGGACACACAGGGGGACACAGGGGACATGGGGGACACACAGGGGACACACAGGGATGGGGGGAGGACACAGGGGACATGGGGGGACACACAGGGACATGGGGGACACTGGGGGACAGGGGGACACACAGGGGACACACAGGGGACATGGGGGACACACAGGGACGGGGGACACGGGGACACACAGGGGGACACAGGGGACACAGGGGGATGGGGGACACAGGGGATGGGGGGACACAGGGGACACACAGGGGGGACACACAGGGGATGGGGGGACACACAGGGATGAGGGGACACAGGGGATGGGGGGACACCGGGCAGACACAAGGGACAAAGGAGAAGAAGGGGGGGACAAGGACACAGGGTGAGGGATAAAGGTGGAGGGGACAAGGGGACACGTGTCATCACACGTCCCTCGGTGTCCCCAGGTGTCCCCAAATGTCCCCAAGGGCGGGAGGACACCTGAGGATGTGGTTTGGGGTGTCTGGAAGGTGGCACAGGCAGGAATGGTCACCACAGTGTCCCCAGGTGTCAACAGGTGTCAACAGGTGTTACCTCTGTGTCCTCAAGTGCCCCCAAGGATGGGAGGACACCTGAGGATGTGGTTTGGGGTGTCTGGGAGGTGGCACGGGCAGGAAGGGCCACCACAGTGTCCCCAAATGTCCCCAAGGGTGGGAGGACACCTGAGGATGTGGTTTGGGGTCTGTGGGAGGTGGCACGGGCAGGAATGGCCACCACAGTGTCCCCAAAGTGTCCCCAAGGGTGGGAGGACACCTGAGGATGTGGTTTGGGGTCTGTGGGAGGTGGCACGGGCAGGAATGGCCACCACAGTGTCCCCAAATGTCCCCAAGGGCGGGAGGACACCTGAGGATGTGGTTTGGGGTCTGTGGGAGGTGGCACGGGCAGGAAGGGCCACCACAGTGTCCCCAGGTGATCCCTCCCTGTCCCCAGGTCCCCAGGTCCCCCCCAGGGGTCCCAACACCCCCCAGGTGTCCCCAGGTGTCCTCCTGCCCCCAGGCCCCCAGACCCCCAGACCCTACCCAGCGACGGTGAGGGTGGCGATCTGGAGCTGGGTGTCCCTGTTGTGTCCTGCTGTGTCCCCCAGGTCCCCAGCCGCCCCCAGACCCCCAGACCCCTACCCAGCACGGTGAGGGTGGCGATCTGGTGGTGGGTGTCCTGCTGTGTCCCTGCTGTGTCCCCAGGTGTCCCCTGCCCCAGACCCCAGACCCCCAGCCAGAGCCCTACCCAGCACAGTGAGGGTGGCGATCTGGTGGTGGGTGTCCCTGTTGTGTCCCCATTCCCCAGGTGTCCCCAGGTGTCCCCAGGTGTCCCCCTACCCCCAGGTCCCCCAGGACCCCCAGAGCCCTACCCAGCATGGTGAGGGTGGCGATCTGGTGGTGGGTGTCCCTGCTGTGTCCCTGTTGTGTCCCCTGCTAGGTGTCCCCCTGCCCCCAGGCCCCCCAGAGCCCTACCCAGCACGGTGAGAGGGTGGCGATCTGGTGGTGGGTGTCCCCAGGTGTCCCCAGGTGCCTCCCCAGGCCCCCCAGGCCCCCAGACCCCTACCCAGCACGGTGAGGGTGGCGATCTGGTGGTGGGTGTCCCCAGGTGTCCCCCCATCCCCAGGTCCCCCGTCCCCCAGGCTGTCCGGGCCCCCCATCCCCAGGTGTCCCCCATGCGCCCAGGCTCCCCCCGGACCCCTACCCAGCACGGTGAGGGTGGCGATCTGGGGTGGGTGTCCTGCTGTCCAGGTGTCCCCTGCCAGGCCCAGCTCTACCCAGCACGGTGAGGGTGGCGATCTGCGGTGGGGTGTCCTGCTGTGTCCCCTGTCCCTGGTGTCCCCATCCCCCAGGTGTCCCCCCTGCCCCCCAGGCCTCCCCAGACCCCAGACCCTACCCAGCACGGTGAGGGTGGTGATCTGGAGCTGGGTGTCCCCATGTTGTGTCCCCCAGGTGTCCCCCATGGTGTCCCCTAGGCCCCCAGACCCCCTAGACCCCTACCCAGCACGGCAGGTGAGGGTGGCGATCTGGTGGTGGGTGTCCCTGCTGTGTCCCCACATGTCCCCCATCCCCCAGGTGTCCCCCTGTCCCCCCAGGCTCCCCAGAGCCCTCCACCCAGCACGGTGAGGGTGGCGATCTGGTGGTGGGTGTCCCTGCTGTGTCCCTGTTGTGTCCCCCATCCCCCAGGTGTCCCCCTGCCCCCCAGACCCCCCAGACCCCTACCCAGCACGGTGAGGGTGGCGATCTGGTGGTGGGTGTCGTCGGCGTAGAGCTGGCAGAAGTAGCCGCCCTCGTCCTCCAGCCGGGCCCGCGCCAGGCGCAGCCGCAGCCGCCGCCGGCTGAACTCGGCCAGCTCGAACCGCTCGTCCTTCAGGGCTGGGGGGGACACAGGGGGTGACACAGGGACCCATGGGCACCCTGGGGTCACACAGACACCCCATGGACACTCCTGGGGTCACACAGGGACCCACGGGCACCCCTGGGGTCACACAGACCCCACGGGCACCCCTGAGCTCAAACCGATCGTCCTCCAGGGCTGGGGACACAGGGGGTCACACAAGGACCCACGGGCACCCCTGGGGTCACACAGACACCCCTGGGGTCACACAGACACCCCACGGACACCCTGGGGTCACACAGGGACCCATGGGTACCCCTGGGGTCACACAGACCCCCATGGGCACCCCCAGCTCAAACCGCTCGTCCTTCAGGGCTGGGGGACCCATGGGCTGCACACAGGGACCCATGGGCACCCCTGGGGTCACACAGGGACCCACGGGCACCCCTGGGGTCACACAGACACCCCATGGACACTCCTGGGGTCACACAGACCCCCACGGGCACCCCCAGCTCGAACCGCTCGTCCTTCAGGGCTGGGGGGACATGGGGGGCACGTGGGGGTCACACGGGGACCCACAGACACCCACAGGACCCACTGACACCCCTGGGATCCCACAGACACCCCTGGGGTCACAGACACCTCTGGGGTCCCACAGACACCCACAAAAACACCCACAGGACCCACAGACACCCCTGGGGTCCCACAGACACCCACAGACACCCCTAGGGTCATACAGGGACCCACTGACACCCCTGGGGTCATACAGGGACACACTGACATCTCTGGGGTCCCACTGACACCCCTGGGGTCCCACAGAACACCCACAAACACCCCCAACCCCCAATACCACCCCAGGGTCACCCTGGAGCCCCACAGACACCCCAGGACATCCCTGTCCCCCCAACATGGGGGACACTGGAATCCCCGTGTCCCCCCTTGTCCCCAGGCATCCCCAGGGGTGTCCCCATGTCCCCAGGTGTGTCCCCAGGTGTCCCCAGGTGTCCCCAGGCGTTCCCAGGTGTCCCCAGATGTCCCCAGGTGTCCCCAGGCATCCCCAGGAGTCCCCAGGTGTCCCCAGGTGTCCCCAGGTGTCCCCAGGGATCCCCAGATGTCCCCAGGGGCGTCCCCAGGTGTCCCCAGATGTCCCCAAGCGTCCCCAGGTGTGTCCACAGGTTGTCCCAGGCGTCCCCAGGGGTGTCCCCAGGTGTGTCCCCAGGCGTCCCCAGGCATCCCCAGATGTCCCCAGGTGTCCCCAGGTGTCCCCAGGCATCCCCAGGTGTCCCCAGGCATCCCCAGGTGTCCCCAGATGTCCCCAGGGATCCCCAGGTGTGTCCCCAGGCGTCCCCAGGCATCCCCAGATGTCCCCAAGTGTCCCCAGGCGTCCCCAGATGTCCCCAGGGATCCCCAGGTGTCCCCAGGTATCCCCAGGTGTCCCCAGGCGTCCCCAGGCGTCCCCAGGCATCCCCAGGTGTCCCCAGGTGTTCCCAGGGGTCCCCAGATGCCCCCAGGTGTCCCCAGGCATCCCCAGGTGTCCCCAGGTGTGTCCCCAGGGGTGTCCCAAGGCATCCCCAGATGTCCCCAGGCATCCCCAGGCGTCCCCAGGTGTCCCCAGATGTCCCCAAGCATCCCCAGATGTCCCCAGGTGTGTCCCCAGGGGTACCCAGGTGTCCCCAGGGGTCCCCTCACCGCGGGTGCCGTTGAAGAAGAGCGTCTGCCGGGCCGGGTTCTGGATGACGACGATGGAGCCGTCGTACCTGTGCAGGTGACACGTGATCTCGGCCGTGCCCCCCTCCAGCACCGTCACGTTCTCGGCCTGCACCTCCTGCGCCTGCCCTGGGGACAGGGGGACAGCAGTGTCACCAAGGAGGGGACAGCAGTGTCACCAGGGGTCACAGGGGACACACACAACCCCCTCCAGCACCGTCACGTTCTCAGCCTGCACCTCCTGCGCCTGCCCTGGGGACAGGGGGACAGCAGTGTCACCAAGGAGGGGACAGCAGTGTCACCAGGGGGGACAGGGGACACACAGACACCTCCTGCGCCTGCCCTGGGGACAGCAGGACAGCAGTGTCACCAAGGAGGGGACAGGGGACACACAAACACCTCCTGCGCCTGCCCTGGGGACAGCAGGACAGCAGTGTCACCAAGGAGGGGACAGGGGACACACAGACACCTCCTGTGCCTGCCCTGGGGACAGGGGGACAGCAGTGTCACCAGGGGGGACAGGGGACACACAGACACCTCCTGCGCCTGCCCTGGGGACAGGGGGACAGCAGTGTCACCAAGGAGGGGACAGCAGTGTCACCAGGGGGGACAGCGGTGTCACCAGGGGGCTCACAGCACACACACACACCCCTGGGGACAGGGGGGACAGGAGGGGACAGGAGTGACCCCAGGGGGACAGGGGACACACAGACATCCCCTGGGGACAGCAGTGTCACCAGGGGGGACAGCAGTGTCACCAGGGGAGACAGCAGTGTCACCAGGGGGGTCACAGCACACACAGACATTCCCTGGGGACAGCAGTGTCACCAGGGGGGACAGGGGACACAGACACCCTGGGGACAGCAGTGTCACTGGGGGGCTCACAGCACACACACACCCCCACTGGGGACAGGGGTGACAGAAGGGGACAGAGGACACACAGCCCCCTGGTACCATCAGGGGTGTCCCCAACCCCAGTGACACCATCAGGGGACCAGTGACACCCTCCCAGTGTCCCCAAGCCCAGTGACACCATCAGGGGACCAGTGACACCATCACTGGGTCCCCAACACCAGTGACACCAACACTCACCCCAGTGACACCAGTACAGTGTCCCCAACCCCAATAACACCAGCACAGTGTTCCCAACCCCAATGACACCATCAAGGGACCAGTGACACCCTCAGGGTGTCCCCAAGCCCAGTGACACCATCAGGGGTGTCCCCAGTCCCAGTGACACCATCAGGGGACCAGTGACACCGTCAGGGGTGTCCCCAACCCCAGGGACACCATCAGGGGACCAGTGACACCCTCCCAGTGTCCCCGACCCCAGTGACACCATCAGGGGTGTCCCCAGTCCCAGTGACACCATCAGGGGACCAGTGACACCATCAGGGGTGTCCCCAAGCCCAGGGACACCCTCCCAGTGTCCCCGAGCCCAGTGACATCATCACAGTGTCCCCAAGCCCAGTGACACCATCAGGGACCAGTGGCATCAGAGTGTCCCCACAGCCTCAGGGACACCCTCCCAGTGTCCCCAAGCCCAGTGACCCGGCCGGTGGCCCCTCGAGGACGGTGCCACGTGTGCCCCTCACCCCGGGGTGTCCCCCTCACCCCAGGGTGTCCCCCCCTCCTGTCCCCATCAGGACACCCTCGGCGTCCCCTGCCGTTGCCATGACAACGCCGGGAGGTGCCCGGGGTGGGGGTGACACGAGGGGGTGACACAGGGAGGTGGGGGTGACACGGGGGCTGGGGGTGACATGCGGGGGCTGAGGGGTGAACGGGGGGAGTGACACCGAGGGGGTGAGGGTGACACAGGGGGTGACGGGGTGACACAGGGGGCTCGGAGGTGACAGCACGGAGGTGACACTAGTGGGGTGACAACACGAGGGGGTGACATGGCGAGTGGGGGTGACACGGGGGGGTGACACGGGGGCTGGGGGTGACACGGGGGGTGACACAGGGGGTGACAACACGAGGGAGGTGACACCGCGTTCTGCTGTGTCAGCACAATTCCTCCCCCTCCAAGGTCGTCCCCGTGCCAAGGTCACCCCCGTCCCGGGGGCTGGGGGGCTCAGGGGGCACAAGGGACACTTTGTCGCTGCCGGGGACCCCGAGGAGAGGAGTGGGAGGGACAATGGGGACAGCGAGAGGGGACACAATGGCCTTTCTGTGTCACCCACGCGCTGGGGACAGCCGGCGGCGCCTGGCACCCGGGGGGACACAGGGGGGACACAGGGGGGCACAGGGGGGACACAGGGGGGCACAGGGGGCACAGGGGCACGTGCCACCCACCCCGGGACTAGGAGCGGAGGGGACACCCGGGGGTGATGGGACACCGAGAGGGGACACCAGAGGGGGTGGGGGACATCCAGGGGATGGGGGACACTCAAGGAGGTGGGGGGACACTCCAGGGGGATGGGGGGACACTCAGGGGATGGGGGACATCCAGGGGGTGGGGGGACACTCAGGGGATGGGGGGACACTCAGGGGTGGGGGGACATCCAGGGGGTGGGGGGACATCAGGGGGATGGGGGACACTCAGGGGTGGGGGGACATCCAGGGGGTGGGGGGACATCAGGGGGATGGGGGACACCAGAGGGGTGGGGGGGACACTCAAGGGGTGGGGGGACATCCAGGGGGAGTGGGGGGACACTCAAGGGGTGGGGGGACATCCAGGGGAGTGGGGGGACACTCAGGGTGGGGGGACACCCAGGGGTGGGGGGAACATCCAGGGGTCCAAGGGGACACCAGGGGTCTGTGGGGGAGGACACACAGGTCTGGGTGTCACCAAGGGACACCTGGCCACAGGTGGGGGGTGACAGTGACACCCCCGGTGGGTTTGGGGACAGGGATGCTCTGGGAGGTGACAGTGACACCCCGGTGGGGCTGAGGGACACTCAGGATGGCTCTGGGGGGGTGACAGTGACACCCCCGGTGGGTTTGGGGACAGGGGATGCTCTGGGGGGGTGACAGTGACACCCCCGGTGGGTTTGGGGACACCAGGATGGCTCTGGGGGGGTGACAGTGACACCCCCCAGCCGCAGGGTCACCCCTTCCCCCCTCCAGCACTGGGTTTGGGGGGGTGGGATGAGCCCCCCCCGTGTCCCCAAGGTGTCCCCAAGGTGTCCCCAAGCTGCACATGGCTGGGGGGGGGGACACAAACCCACCCCCCTCGCGGGGAGATGGGGACAGAATAAAAAGGGGGGGGACACACACAGGGAGATGCCCCCACCCTCCTCCCACCCGAGGGGGACACACAAAGCCATGGGACACCGCAGGGAGGGACACGGCGAGCAGGGAAGGGGAGGGGGCTGCGGCAGAGCCGCGGCGATTTTGGGGAGGAGGAGATGGGGAGATGGGGGAGGGTGAAGGGGGGGAGGGACGCGCGATGCGGCTTTTAAATGGCAGGGGGTGGGGGCGGGTTGGGGTGTCCCCTTTTTGGGGACACGAGGGACAGGGTAAATGGAGGAGTGGGCTGGGGCTGGAATTTGGGGAGGGGGTCACTCCCCGTGTCCAGCAGCCCAGAGCAGTGCAGGGGGATAGGATTGGGGGTGTCCCCGGTTGAGGACACAGGGACAGGGGTAAATGGCGGTGGGGGCTGGAATTTGGGGAGGGGGTCACTCCCCGTGTCCAGCAGCCCAGAGCAGTGCAGGGGGGGTGGGTTTGGGGGTGTCCCCCCCGGTTAAGGACACAGGGACGGGGTAAATAAGGGGGTGTAATTTGGGGAGGGGGGTCACTCACCGTGTCCAGCAGCCCAGAGCAGTGCAGGGGGGGCAGGTTTGGGGGTGTCCCCCCCCCGGTTAAGGACAGGGAGGATGGGGTAAATAAGGGGGTGTAATTTGGGGAGGGGGTCACTCACCGTGTCCAGCAGCCCAGAGCAGTGCAGGGGGCAGGTTTGGGGGTGTCCCCGGTTAAGGACACAGGGACAGGGGTAAATGGCGGTGGGGGCTGGAATTTGGGGAGGGGGTCACTCACCGTGTCCAGCAGCCCAGAGCAGCAGCAGCCCCGGCAGCAGCGCGGGGGCCGCAGGGGGCGCGGGGGCTGCATGGCGGCCGAGGCTCCGCTGCCGCTCCCTCCCCACCTGCCGGGCCCGCGCTAATGAGATGCTAATGAGATGCGGGAGGCCGGGCCAATGGGGGCAGCGGGAGGAGGGGAGGGGGAGGAGCCCCCGCTATTGAGAGGGAGGATGGGGGTCGGTGTTTACAGGGAGAGGGACAGGAGGGGGGATTTGGGGGACTGGGGGTCTTTTGGGGGAACCTAAGGGGGATGGAGGGTCTGGGGGGCCTGGGGATATTGGGGAGGGGGATGGAGGGGGGCCGGGGGTTGTTGGGGGTCTTTGGGAGGCGATGGCGGGGTCCGGGAGGGTCCTGGGGGGTTAATGGGGACCCCAGGATGGGCTCAGGGACCCCGGGTGAGAAATTGGAGCCCCTGAGGTGGCTTTGGGGGCCATGGGGGTCTTGGGGGTCTCTGGGGGTGATGGGGGACCCTGAGGGGAAAATTGGGGACCCCGAGGGGGATTGGGGACCCCAAAGGGGATGGGGAGTCCAGGGGGAGCCCTGAGGGGATTAGGGGACCCTGGGGGAACAGGGGGTGACGGGGGGGCCCTGGGTGGGAATTGGGGACCCCAAAGGCGGATGGGGGGTCCAAGGGGTCACTGGGGGTCCTTGGGGGCGATTGGAGGAGCCTGAAGGGGTTTAGGGACCCCAAGGGGGAACAGGGGCACCTCGAGAGGGGGAAGGGCTGGGGGTCCCGGGGATGGGATCAGAGCCCCCACCTGGAACAGGGGGACCCCACGGTGGGTTTGGAGCACCCCAAATTGAGACCAGATCACCTCCAGCCAGAATTGGGGGCCCTCAGGGTGGGCTGGGACCCCCTTCCCCAAAGGGACCTGGGCCCCTCCCGAGGGGTCTGGGGTCCCCAATCCTTCGGGAGCCCCCGGCCGCGCCCCCCGCCGTTTCCAGGGCAGCCGCGGCCCCGGCCCCGGGCGGAACAAAGGCTGCTCTGAGCTGGAACAGCGCGCCCATTCAGCGCTCGGGGGGCTCGGGGGGTCCAGGGGGGTCCTCGGGGGGTCCCCTTTTTTTTGGGGGCCGCTCGGGACGCGGGGCACGTTCGGGGAAGGAGCTGCCAGGGCTGGGGAAGGACACAGAATGGGGGGGAAAAGGGCAAAAAGGGATAAAGGAGGAGAAAATGTGGGATAGAGGGGGTCAGAATGGGGGAAAAATGGGGACAAAAGGGGGATAAACAGGCATAAAATGGAGCTAAACGGGGCATAAGTGGGGGAAAAAAGGGATAAAATGGGGATAATGGGGAAAAAAATGAGGCTAAAGGACGAAAAGATGGGGTAAAAGGAGATAAAATGGAGCTAAACTGGGACAAGACGGGGCTAAAAGGGGACAAAATGGGGATAAAATGGGGCTAAGGGGGGGGAAATTGGGCTAAAGTGAGGCTTAAATGGCTAAAACTGAACAGGACCAAACCAGGGCTAAACAGAGCCAAAAAGGGGCAAAACGCAGTAAAAACGGGGCTAAGTGGGGACAGAATGGGGCCAAAGTGGTGCTCAAATGGCCCTATCTAGACTAAGAAGGGACAAAATGGGACTGAAATGGCCAAAATTGGCCAAACAAGCCAAAGCAGAGAACAAACCAGGGTAAAACGGCCCAAACGGGGCCAAACTCGGCCAAAACAGAGTCAAGTGAGCAGAGAGCCCAGCTTTAAGGGCCAGAGAGTTAAACAGCACCGAAACGAGCCCGAACAGGCCAGAACAGGGCTGAAATGGCCAAAAATAGGGCTGAAGTCGTGAGGAGCACACAAACCCCCCAATTTCTGCAGCTTTAACCCGAATTCCCCCAGCAGGGCTGAGCTGGAGGGTCCCCAATGTTCTTTAGCGGGAGGGAGGTGAGAAAACCCCTCAGGAGGAGGATGAGGAGGGACAAAGAGGGGGCCTCGCCCTCCTCTCCCACAGCCCTGAGGGGATCCCGGCTGAGCGAACAGGGTGGGAGCGGCAAAACCGGCTTTGCCGAGGCCCCTGAGGCGCGGGAGGAGAGCGATGACAGCCTTTGGAACGGGAGAATTCTTGAAGGGGTGTGAGGGGGATCACCCTTTGCCCCCTCAGGCAGGGTCCGGCCACCATCACCCCCCACGGCCCTGAGGGCGAGTTCACCTACGGGAGGTGGCTCAAACCGCCGCAGGGACACCCTGAGGATGTGACAGCGCCGGGAAGCGGCGGCAGGAGCGGGAAATTCCCCGCTCGGAGCCCGCGGGGCCATCGCGGAGCCGCCGCCTCCCCCTGAGGCGTCGCGGACAAAATGGCGGCGGCTCCTGAGGCGCCTTTCCCGCCCTTTCCGAGGCCACGCCCCCTGCCCGGCCATCCCACCAATCAGCGGCCGCCCTGCCGCGGCTTTGCCCCGCCCCCTGGCCGGCCCTGAGGGAGCGGCGGCGGCGGGAGGGGAAAAGGAGCCTTTGCTGAGGGGAAAACCTCGCGCTCTGAGGTAAAAAACGGCACCTTCTGGGGGCAACGCACTTTTTCTGAGGGGAAATAATGGCTTCCGTGAGGAAAACCCCTCTTTTTGGGGTTAAAACCTCGTTTTTTCCGAGGCAAGCCCCTCAGTTTTGGGGGGTTTTTAAACCTCGTTTTCAGATGGAAAGGCCTCGCTTTTTTCAGAGGTTAAAAAAAAAATACGTTTTTCGGAGGCGAAGCCCCATTTACTGAGGCAAACCCCTGTTTTTGGTGGTCAAACCCTCATTTTCTGAGGCAACCCCTCATGGGGGTTAAAAATGTCACTTTCTGAGGTAAATTCAGTTTTCTGAGGTAAAACATCATTTTCTGAGATAACCCTCTCATTTTTCTGAGGCAAACACCTCAGTTTGCAGGGTTAAAACCTCATTTTGTGCAGTTAAACCTCATGTTTCTAAAGCAATTCCCCATTTTCTGAGGCAAATCCTTCACAAAGTGGGGTTAAACCCTCATTTTCTGAGGAAAACCCCTCATTTTCTGAGGTAAAACCTTTCCTTTCTGAGGTAACCCCTCAGTTTTTCAGACGAACCCTCAGATTTTCTGTGGTAAAAACCTCATTTTCTGAGAAAAAAATACTTATTTTCTGGTGTAAACCCTCGTTTTTCTGAAGCAAACCTTATTTTCTGGGCCCAAGTTTGAGGTGCTTTCCCACCAATGATCGGTTTTTCCCCCACTATTTCCCTCCTTTTTCCCCACTATTTCCCTCCCTTTTCCCCCTTCCCGCTCCCCATTTTGGGGCATTTCCCCCCTTTCTGGGATCCCTGCTGGGAATTCAAGGTTTCCCCCCCCAATTTTGGGGCTGTTTCCCCCTTTTTTGGGTGTTTCCCCCACAAACATGACTCCAGCTCAGGGGTTTAGGGTTTATTGGCTCCCTCAGTGCTTCTTGCTGGCGGCGGCGACCTGGAAATGGGGAGAAAAACAGGGAAAATGGGAAAAAAGGCCGGGATTGACCCCAAAATAGCCTCGTGCTAGGAATGTTCCCAATCCCAGGAATGGCCCCAAAATGGTTCCAATCCTGGGACTGGCTCCAAAATGGCCAAAAACGTGAGAATTGGCCCCAAAATCTCACCTGCCCCGCGATGCGATCCAGGTCCCGCTGCCCCTGTGGAGTCAACTTCCGACCCCTGGGGTGGGGAAAACAGGGAATTAATGGAGAAAATGGGGGAAAAACGGGACAGAAAAGGGGAAAATGAGAGGGGGAAATGAGGAAAATAGTGTGAGAAAGAATAATAATGAAGCAGGATAGAAATTACAGGAAAAATCTTGGGAGAAAGGGAATTTAAAGGGGAAAAATGGGAACTTGGGGAGCGGAAAACGGGAATTTAAAAGGGCAAATGAGAATTTAAAAGGAAAGTGGGAATTTCAAAGGGGAATTTATAAGGGAGAAAACGAAGAGTAAAACCAGCACAAAAAGGGGCCGGGAAGGCAGAAAATGGGGTAAAAGGAGGGCAAATCGGGTCAAAGCCGGGAGGGAAGAAGGGTGAAGGTCTGGGTCCCTAACGCAGGTGATTTTTTCCCCCCCAGACTGACCCGTCCTGGTCCTTCTCCACCACCTTGAGGGCCTCGAGCGCCTGCAGGACCCGGCGGGCGACGGCGCCGGAGCCGCGGCTGAAGTGGCTGGGCCGGACCCCGCGGCGCTGCCGCCCCCCGTACACCTTGGCCATGGAGCCCACGCCGGCCCCGCCGCGCAGGTACAGGTGGCGAGCCGTGGAGGCTGCGGGAACACCGGCAATCAACAGCGGGAACACCGGGAATCAACAGCGGGAATCACCCCCGGGAACGGGAAACACCCCCGGGACACCCCCATCCCAACCCCGGAGCCACCGCCCCGCAGGGCCCGGCCCTGCCCCTCACACCGGGACCCCCCTCGGGTGTTTTTATCCCCCCCTCGGGTGTTTTTATCCCCCCCTCGGGTGTTTTTATCTCCCCCCCGGGTGTTTTTTTTGCGGGGGTCTCACCCACCCGCGCGGGTGTAGAACCAGTTCTCGTCATAGGGCGCCAGCTCCTTGTGCTTGGCCAACTTCACCGTGTCCGCCCACTCGGGCACCTTCAGCTTCCCCGACCTGCGGGAATACCGGGATAATACCGGGATTATATCAGGAATAACGCCGGGAATACAGGGAATGACACCGGGATAACACCGGGGATAACACCGGGAATAACACCGGGAATAACACCGGGAATACCAGGGGGAATACAGAGAAGAAAACCGGGGATAATACCGGGATAACAGCGGGATAATAACGGGAATAACACCGGGATAACACCGGGAATGGAGGGGGGAATTACAGTGGGAATAACACCGGGATAATACCGGGAATGTCCCCGGATCCCCTCCCGCCCCAGGGACCCCCTCCGGGACACCGGGACCCTCCGAACACCCCGGGGACCCCTGGGACATCGGGGGACCCCCGGTAACCGAACCGAGGACCCCCACACCAACGATCTCCAGGACCCCCGATCCTCCCAGGCCTCCCCGGTCCCCAGTGCCCCTCAGGGACCCCTCCCAGGAACCCCTGGGACCCTCCGGTCCCCGTGACCCCTCCAGTCCCCCGGTCCCCCTCACTTCTTGAGGAAGGCCGCGAGCGCCCGCACGAACTCCTGCTGGTTCACGTCCTTCACGGTCACCCCGGGCATCTGCGGGGACACGCGGCGTGTTGGGACCCCGGAGACCCCCATGACCCCCAAAATTCCCCAAATCCCCCTCCCCCCGCGCCCACCTCGCTCCTTTCGCCGCCGCCGCCGCGCCGGAAGAGGCCGCTCCGCGGGGCCGCCCGGGCCAAGGCGCAGGGGCCGCGGCACCGCGAGACTCTCTCGGCCAATGGGAGCCCGCGAGGCTTCGCGCCGGCCAATGGGGTTGTGTAAGGGGCGTGGTTGGGTTGGTACCGCCCCCTCCCCGCGGCGCCTTCAATGGGCCCCCCTCGGGGCGTGAGAACGTTTGGCCCCGCCCCCCGCTCCTCATTGGTCACCGCACGGCGCGCGGGTGTGAGCGAGGCGGGGATTGGCTGCGCGCAGCGCCGCGGATGGAACGAGCGCGGGGATTGGCTGATGGGGTGGTGGCCCCCCAGGGTGTCCCGGTGTCCCTGTGCCACCCCCGGAGTGTCCCAGTGACCCACCTGGGTGTCCCTGCGTCACCCCCGGAGTGTCCCCAGAGTGACCCACCTGGGTGTCCCCAGGGTGTCCCTGTGTCACCCTCAGAGTGACCCACCTGGGTGTCCCCAGGGTGTCCCTGTGTCACCCCCGGAGTGTCCCCAGAGTGACCCACCTGGGTGTCCCTGTGTCACCCTCAGAGTGACCCACCTGGGTGTCCCCAGGGTGTCCCGGTGGCCTCGTGACATCTGTGAGGTGTCCCAGTGTCACCCCTGGGCTGCCCCCAAGGTGTCCCAGTGTCCCCTCTGAGGTGTCCCCAGGGTGTCCCGGTGGCCTCGTGACATCTGTGAGGTGTCCCAGTGTCCCCAAGGTGTCCCCAAGGTGTCCCAGTGTCCCCTCTGAGGTGTCCCCAGGGTGTCCCAGTGAACCCCATGTGGTGTGTCCCAAAGGTGCCCTGGAGGTGCCACCCCCTGTCCCCAACCCTTGTGGTTTGTCCCCTCCCTCCCTGCCCCTTTAACAGTGGGTGTGTCCCTCCGTGTCCCCGCCCCCCCTTGTCATCCAATGACAAGCATGGACACAAAAAGGGGCGTGTTCCTCCAGTCTCAGCCCAGCCAATGACAAACAGGAACAAAAAAAGGGGCGTGTCCCTCCAGTCCCAGCCCAGCCAATGGTAAACAGCAACACAAAAAGGGGCGTGGCCCTCCAGTCCCAGCCCAGCCAATGACAAAAAGGAACAAAAAAAGGGGCGTGTCCCTCCCCAGCCAATGACAAACAGCAACACAAAAGGGGGCATGTCCTTCCCTCCCTCCCCAGCCAATGACGAGCGGCGAAACAAAAGGGGCGTGGCCGAGAAGCTCCAAATATTTCCCGTTGTTTAAAAGATCCCCCGTCGGTCACGTGACCCCCCCGTTGGCCCCGCCCCCTCCCACAAACACCCCCCAAAGAGAAGGGGCGTGGCCTGGAATGGGCTCAGCGCACGCTGGCCCCGCCCCCGGGAGGCTCTGGGGGCGTGGCCTCAGAGGAGGAGGGGGCGGGGTCAGCAGGGGGCGGGGCCGCAGCAGAGGAGGAGGAGGGGGCGGGGCCGGCAGAGGAGGGGGCGGCACCGTCGGCGGAGGAGGGGGCGGGGTCTGCGGGGTCGGTGGGCGGGGCGGGGTCGGTGGGCGTGGCCGCCTGCATGATCTTCTGGCGAACCTCGCGGATCTTGAGCTGCAGACACAGCTTGGTGGGGAAAATGTCCGAGAAACGCGACTGGAACGCGGCCGTGGCCTGGGCTGGGACACAGAGACACTGTCAGGGACAGACAGACACACAGACAGACACACTGACACAGGGACACACACACAGACACAGGGACACACAGACTGACACAGCTTGGTGGGGAAAATGTCCGAGAAACGCGACTGGAACGCGGCCGTGGCCTGGGCTGAGAGACAAAACCAGTGTCACAGGGACAGACAGACACAGGGACAGACACACTGACACAGGGACACACACACTGACACACAGACTGACACAGCTTGGTGGGGAAAATGTCCGAGAAACGCGACTGGAACGCGGCCGTGGCCTGGGCTGGGACACAGAGACACTGTCAGGGACAGACAGACACACAGACACACAGACAGACAGACACAGCTTGGTGGGGAAAATGTCCGAGAAACGGGACTGGAACGCGGCCGTGGCCTGGGCTGGGAGAGAGACAAAACCACTGTCACAGGGACAGACAGACACACGGACACACACACTGACACAGGGACACACACACTGACACACAGACTGACACAGCTTGGTGGGGAAAATGTCCAAGAAATGTGACTGGAACGCGGCCGTGGCCTGGGCTGGGGACACAAACAGGGTCACAGAGGGTCACAGAGGGTCACAGGGACACACGGACATGGGGACACACAGACACACACACAGGCCGTGGCCTGGGCTGGGGACACAAACAGGGTCACAGAGGGTCACAGAGGGTCACAGAGGGTCACAGGGACACACGGGGACAACCAGGGGACAGAGGGACAGGGACAGGACACGGGGATGGGACAGGGAGGGAGATGGGGACACGGGGACAGGGGACACAAGGACACCCAGGGACACTCAGGGACAAGGGACACGGGGACAGGGGACAAATGTGCTTTGGGGTGATTTGGGGGGTGTTTCTGGGGTGGTTTCAGGGGGATTTGGGGAGTGGTTTTGGGGTGTTTTGGGGGCTCACCTGAGGGGAAGAAACCATGCTGTGCTTTGGGGGGATTTGAGAGGTGTTTCTGGGGTGATTTCAGAGAGATTTGGGGAGTGGTTTTGGGGTCATTTCAGGGGGGTTTGGGGGGTATTTTTGGGGTGATTTCAGGGGGATTTGGGGGTTCACCCAAGGGGAAGAAGCCGTGCTGTGCTTTGGGGTGCTTTGGGGGGTGTTTTTGGGGTGATTTCAGGCAGTTTTGGGGGCTCACCCAAGGGGAAGAAGCCGTGCTGTGTTTTGGGGTGCTCTGGGGTGATTTTGGGGTGTTTTTGGGGTGATTTCAGGGGAGTTTAGGGGGTGTCTTTGGGGTGATTTCAGGGGGGTTTGGGGGCTCACCCAAGGGGAAGAAGCCGTGCTGTGCTTTGGGGGGATTTGAGGGGTGTTTTTGGGGTGATTTGAGGGGGGTTTGGGGGCTCACCCGAGGGGAAGAAGCCGTGCTCCTGGAAGAGCTGCATGACGAGGGCCCTGCGCTGGTCCAGGGTCCGTCTCAGGGACGAGAAGGGGACTTTGTCGTACTCGAGCTCCCCCAGCACGTCCTCGCCCTCCCCCCCTGCGGGAACGGGGAGGGTCAGGGGGCCCCCAAACCTGGGAACCCCCAAATTCCCCCCCAGGGGACCCCCCCGAACCAGACCCACCCGTCCTGTCGAAGGTGAAGATGAACCCCCTATTTTAAGGCGTCCCTCCCTGTATTTTGGGGTATCCCTCACGTATTTTGGGCTGTTCCCCATATATTTTGGGGCCCCCCTCACCCGTCCTGTCGAAGGTGAAGATGTCCCCCTGTATTTTGGGGTATCCCCCATATATTTTGGGGCCCCCCTCACCCGTCCTGTCGAAGGTGAAGATGTCCCCCTGTATTTTAGGGTGTGTCCCTGTATATTTTGGGGCCCCCCTCACCCGTCCTGTCGAAGGTGAAGATGTCCCCCTCGCACTTGGCGCTCTTGGGGGTGGTGGGGTCGGAGCCGCAGCTCGAGCGGCGTCGAAGCTTCCGCTTGGGGGACGAGGGGTCCTCCCCCCCCGGCTCCAGCTCTGCCAGAGGGCAAAGGGCAAAGGTCACGAGGGGCACCAAACTCCAGACCCCTCCCCCAGGTGCACATTTGAGGGGTCATGGGGGGGTCAGAGAGAGGGTTGGAGAGGTCAGGGGCGGGGGTCATAGGGGGGTCAAGGGGGACATGGGGGGTCAGGGGAGGTCACAGAGGTCAGGGGTCACAGGGAGGTCATGAGGGATCAGAGGACTCAGGGAGGTCACAAAGGTCAGGGGGTCACAAAGGTCAGAGGGGTCACAGGGAGGTCACAAAGGTCAGGGGTCACAAAGGTCAGGGGTCACAGGGAGGTCACAAAGGTCGAGGGGGTCACAAGGAGGTCACAAAGGTCAGGGGGTCACAGGGAGGTCACAAAGGTCAGGAGGGTCACAAGGTCAGGGGTCACAAAGGTCAGGGGGCACAGGGGAGATCACAAAGGTCAAGGGGGTCACAGAGAGGTCAAAGAGAAGCCATGGGGGGTCAGTGGGATCACGGGGAGGGCACAGAGGTCTGGGGGGGGGTCAGAGGTCAGGGGTGACCTGTGGAGTTCTTGCGTTTCTTGCGGTAGCTGCCCAGGATGGTCCGGGGGGAGGTGGCCAAGGCCTGCAGGGTGGGGGAGGGGAGAACCTCCTCGGGCCGGAACTCGGGCAGCTCCGCGAAGCGCTCCTCGAAATCCACCTCCGACAGCACCCTGGGGGTGGGGGGAGAGACCCCAAAAACACCCTGAATATCCCCCCAAAATACCCCTGAACATCCCCCAAAATAACCCTGAATACACTGACATCCCCACACTGACCCCACAGTTCCGAAATCCACCTCCGACAGCACCCTGGGGATGGGGGGAGAGACCCCAAAAATACCCCTCAATATCCCCCAACTACCCCTGAACAAACTGACCCCCATCAGCCCCACACTGCCCTGAGACCCACCCCAATCTGTGGCCCCACCCCTCTGTAGCCCCACCCCCTCTGTGGCCCCACCCCTCCTGTGGCCCCACCCCTCTGTGGCCCCACCCCTCTGTGACCCTGCCCATCTCTGTGGCCCCACCCCTCTGTGGCCCCACCCCTCTGTGGCCCTGCCCCCTCCCAATGTGGCCCGCCCCCAGCCCCACCCTTTGAGGCGCCATTTGTGGTCCCAAGCTCCGCCCCCTCCCTCCTCTCCAGAGGCCCCTCCCTCCAAAGAAGCCCTCCCCTTTCCAAAGCTCCTCCCCACCCCAAGCAGGCCCCTCCCCAGCCCCTCCCCTCACTTGTCGACGGAGTCGAAGGTTTTTTTCAGAGGGGGGTCGAACTCGCCTTCTGGCTCGCCCTGGCGTGGGAGGAGGCGGGTGGGGAGGCGGCGGGGGCCTCTCGGAGGGGCGTGGGGCGACGGAGCCGAGGAGGAGGAGGGGCCAGCGGGGAGGGGCCTCGGGGCGGGGCCCAGCGCCGGCCTGCGGGGAGGGGAAGGTTCGTTAATGCGCTAATGGCGCTACTTAACGGGATCGTGCATATTAATGAGAGGGAGGGGCCGGCACTCACCGCGTCGGGGGCGGGCTGGGCGGCCTCCCCACGTCCCGTTGGCTCCAGGCCTCGTGTCCGTGGGGGAGGGGGTCGGCGGGGGAGGGGCGGCGGGGGCGGCGTCCCAGTCGCCGGTGGGGGTGGGGAGGGGCGGCGCTGGGGGAGGGGGGAGGAGGCGGCGGAGGGGGAGGGGCGGGGTCTGGCGGAGGGGCGGGGCGGCTCCGGCGGGGCGGGCGGCCTCTCCTCCCCACGGGGATGGTGGCGATTTGGGCCTTGATCTTCTGGGGGCTTCGGGGGCCGGGGGCGTGGGGAAGGGCAGGGGGCTGTGGAGAGAGGGAGAGGGGTGAGGGGCGGGGCCTGATGCTTACAGGCCACACCTCCTCATTTGCATGCACATTGAAACCACCCCCTGCTTAAGCCCCTCCCACTCCCTTTCAGAGCTCCTCCCACCAAACCACACCCAGTTAAGCCCCTCCCACCTCCTTTCAGAGCCCCTCCCACCACAAAACCACACCCAGTTAAGCCCCTCCCACCTCCTTTCAGAGCTCTTCCCACCATGAAACCACACCCAGTTAAGCCCCTCCCACTCCCTTTCAGAGCTCCTCCCACACAAAGCCACACCCAGTTAAGCCCCTCCCACTCCCTCTGAGAGCTCCTCCCACAAAACCACACCCAGTTAAGCCCCTCCCACTCCCTTTCAGAGCTCCTCCCACCACAAGGCCCCACCCAGTTAAGCCCCTCCCACTCCCTTTCAGAGCCCCTCCCACCACAAAACCACACCCAGTTAAGCCCCTCCCACTCCCTTTCAGAGCTCCTCCCACTGCAAAGCCACACCCACTTAAGCCCCTCCCCCTCACCTGAGCCCCCCGGGGTGGGGGCGGGGCCCCCCTTGGGCAGGATGGGCGTGGCCGGGGGGGCGGAGCCAGCCACGCTGTAGACCAATCCGGGCGGGGGCGGGCCGGGGCCCCCGGGCAAATGGCGGCCAGGACGGGACCTCCGAGCTGGGGGCGCTTGGGGGCAGCGCAGACACCCCACGGGGGCGGGGGCCAGCAGGGACCCCTGGCCTGGGGGGACACGGGGGGGGGGTCAGAGACGGCAGGAACCCCCAGGGACCCCAAAATAAACCTCCCCAGGGACCCCAAAATGTCCTGAGAACCACAAATAAACCCCCAGGAATCACAAATAACCCCCTGGGACCCCCAGATAAACCTCCCCAGGGACCCCAAAATATCCTGGGAACCACAAATAAACCCCCAGGAACCACAAATAACCCCCGGACCCCCAAATAAACTCCTCTGGGACCCCCAAATAAACCTCCCCAGGGACCCCAAAATATCCTGGGAACCACAAATAACCCCCAGGAATCACAAATAAACCCCCAGGAATCACAAATAACCCCCCCAGGACCCCCCAAATAACCTCTTTGGGACCCCCAATAACCCCCACAGGACCACAAATAAACCCCCAGGAATCACAAATAACCTCTTTGGGACCCCCAAATAAACCTCCCCAGGGACCCCAAAATATCCTGGGAACCACAAATAAACCCCCAGGAATCACAAATAACCCCCCCAGGACCCCCAAATAACCTCTTTGGGACCCCCAATAACCCCCTGGGACCCCCAAATAAACCCCTGGGAACCCCAAATAAACCCCCAGGAATCACAAATAACCCCCCCAGGAACCCCAAATAACCTCTTTGGGACCCCGAAATAACCTCCTGGGAACCCCAAATAAACCCCCCAGGACCCCCAAACCACCCCTGCCCACCCTCCAGTCACAATTCTGGGACCCCTCAGTGCCCCCCAGGACCCCAAACACCCCCTCCCTTTCCCCTCAACCTCCTCCAGGACCTCCCAAATCCCTCCCAATCCCTCCCAAATCCCCCTAGGACCCCCAAATCCCCCCAGACCCCCCCATCCCCACTCACCGGGCAGCAGGGGCTGCACCTGAGCCCCCCAATCCCTCCCAGGACCCCCAAATCCCCCAAATCCCCCAGCCCCCCATGCCCACTCACCGGGCAGCAGGGCTGCACCTGAGGCCCCCCAAATCCCCCCCAGGACCCCCAAATCCCCCAATCCCCTCCCAAATCCCCCCAGACCCCAATCCCCCAAATCCCCCTGTCCCCCCACCTCCCACCGGGCAGCAGGGGCTGCACCTGAGCCCCCCAATCCCTCCCAGGACCCCAAATCCCCCAAATCCCCCCAGTCCCTCCCAAATTCCTCCAGGACTCCCCAAATCTCTCCAGACCTCTCTCAAATCCCCCATCCCCACTCACCGGGCAGCAGGGGCTGCACGAGGGCCCCCGGGCCGAGGGCGGTGAAGCCGAGCACGGGGTTTCGAGCACGGGGGTTTCCAGCACGGGGGTTTCGAGCGGGGAGGGGCTGACGTAGGCGGGGGGCGCGGGGGCGGCGGCGGCGGGGAGGGGCGGGTGGACGTAGGTGATCCGGGCCGAGGGCAGCAGCACCTTGGGGAGGGGCGGAGCCCTCGGACCCCTGGGGCTGCCGGGGCACGAGCGGCACCGGGCTGAGCTGGATGATCTGTGGGGACAGGGGGTCAGGGGGTCACTGGGGGTGGGGGGTCAGGGGGTGGGGAGGGGTCCGTGCCTTGCCCGGGCGGGGCGCTGCCGGGGTCCCGAAAGGCGTCAGGGAGGGGCCCGGGGGCCACTGGGACCAAACCTTCCCGGGAGCAGAGGGGTGGGGGCGGCTGCCCTGGGGGAGCCCTGGGCTGGGGGCACAGGGGAGGGGGCACAGTCAGAGAGACCCCACAGAGAACCCCCTAAACTCCACAAAGCCCCTGAACCTACAAAGCCCCTAAACCCACAGAGATCCCCTGAACCCCACAGAGACCCCTAACCTCACAGAGACCCCCTGACCCCACAGAACCCGTCTGACCCCACAGAGACCCCCTGACCCCACAGAGACCCCCTGACCCCACAGAGAGCCCCCAAGCCCAGAGACCCCCTGACCCCACAGATACCCCCTCGAACCCACAGAGACCCCCTTGAACCCACAGAAACCACCCTGAACCAACAGAGATGCCTCGAACCCCACAGAGACCTCCTGACCCCAGAGAGACCCCCTCACCCCATAAACCATCCCCCAACCTCACAAAGCCCCCGACCCCACAGAGACCACCCCTGACCCCACACAGACCTCCCCTAACCCCACAAACCTCTCCTGACCCCACAGAGATCCCCCTGACCCCACAAATCCCTCTGAACCCACAGAGACCCACCCTGACCCCAGAGAGAACCCCCCTGACCCCATAAACCATCCCCCAACCTCACAAACCCCCGACCCACAGACCTCCCATCCCCCGTACCTTTGGGGGCTCCGCTAGGTCGCTCCCAGGTGGGGAGGGGCTTTCCGTTCTGGGGCGGGGAGGGTGAAGTGCAGGGGGCGGGCCGGGGGCGGAGCTGCGCGTGGGGGCCCTGGGGGCTCCCTGGGGGTTCTGGGGTGCCCCTTGGGGGTGGGGAGGGGCAGGGTGGGCAGGATGTACTGCACCTGCGTGATGCCGAGGGGGAGGCCTGTTGGGGGCGCCGCCCCGCCCCTCCCCTGCCTCCCTGCCACCGCCCTCCCCTCGCGGGCCCCGCCCCTCCCGCGGGGGCGGCGCCAGGAGCTGCACGGGGGTGGGGGTGGGGCAGCGCCACCGAGGGGGTCCCGGCCCCGCCCCCCCGCCGGCGCCGCAGCCCCCAGGACCAGGTTGGCCACGACCTCCTCCCCGAGCCCCCAGCGCGGCCCCGGGTGGGGGGAGAGGCTTGGGCTGGGGGCCCTGCGCTGGCGAGGGAGGAGGAGGAGGGGAGGGGGCCCGGGTGCAGCAGAGGGGGCTCCCGGGCCGCCCTCCGCCTCCCAGCCCCCTCGGCGCTCTCGGCCCGTTTGCGGCGCGGGGGCGCGGGGGCCCTCGAGCGCTTCGGGGGCCCTGGGGACCCCCGGCCTTGTAGGGGGCTGGGGCGCCTCGGGGGCCCGGGGCGGCTCCAGCTTCGGGGGGCAGGGGCGGCACCGGCGGGAACAACCTCCGGGGGCCTGGGGAGGGGAGGCGTTGGGGGCTGCAAAGAGACCCCAGAGACCCCCAATTGATACCCCTACCCCATCCCTCCCCCCAATCCCATGCCCACCTTGGCATCCCCCCAGACCCCCAAATGCCACCCCTGGGACCCCCAAATCGCTCCTCCAATCTCCCCAATCCCCCAAATCCCACTCCCTGTGACCCCCAGCCCCTCCATTCCCCAATAGCCCCCTAATTCCCCCAAAACCCCATCTCCCCAAATCCCACTCCCTGTGAACACCTCAACCTCCCCATCTTCCCAAATACCCCCAAACCCTCCCAAACCCCCCAAAACCCCCCAAATCTCCCCCAAACCTCCCCAAAACCCTATTCCCTGTAACCAACCCAACTCCTCCATCCCCCAAATGCCCCCTAAACCCCTAAACTCCCCCAAATCTCCCCTAAATCCCCACCAACTCCCCCAAACCCCTCAATTCCCCCAAACCCCCCAAATCCCCCCAGACCCCCAGGCCCCACCTTGTCCCCTGGTCGGAGGCGTCGGAGTCGGAGTCGCTCACTCGCTCCTTGCACTTGAGGTCGATGTCGGGGAGGGGCGGGGGGAACCTGTCATCTGCTGGGGTGGGGTCCCATGGTCAGTGGGGGTCCTGGGGTGCCTGGGTGGGGAGGGGCGGGGGTCTCACTGATGACGTCATCATCACCCTCCTCCTCGCAGATGACCATGCGCTCCCCGTCGCTCGCCCCTCCTCGCTCTGCGGGCCCGCGGGGGGCGCGGGGAGAGGGGCGGGCGGCCCCTGCCCGGCCTGGGGGACCCCACTCCGCCCCTGACCCCCGAGCGGGGGGCCGTGAGGGACCCCCTTTGGGACCCCCGAACGGGGCGGGCCCTGCGCACAGCTGGGAAAGGGGCAGAGGTGGAACGGGAGAGTCCCAAAACCCCCCCAGAAACAGACCCAAAATCACCAAAACCCCCAGAAACAGACCCAAAATCACCAAAACCCCCAAAAACAGCCCCAAAATCACCAAAACCCCCCCAGAAACAGACCCAAAATCACCAAAACACCCCCAAAACCAGACCCAAAATCACCAAAACCCCCCCAGAAACAGACCCAAAATCACCAAAACACCCCAAAAACAGCCCCAAAATCACCAAAACACCCCCAGAAACAGACCCAAAATCACCAAAACACCTAAAAACCTCCACAAAAACAGCCCCATAAACCCAAAACACCCCAAACCCTCCACAAAAACAGCCCCAAAAATCCAAAACCTCCCCAAAAACAGGTCCCAAAACAAACACCCCAAATCTCCACAACAGCTCCAAACCCCACCCCAGAAACAGCCCCAAAACCTCCACAGAACATCCCAAAACCTCCCCAAAACACCACAAACCTCCACAAAACACCCCAAAACCTCCGGAAATCTCCACAACAGGCCCAGAAACAGCCCCAAAACACCCCAAAACCTCCACAAACGCCCCCAAAACCTTCACCACCTCCTCCAACCCCACTCATGAAACTTCCCCAAACCCCCCAAACCTCCATTCCAAACAACCCAAAAACTCTCCAACCCCCCCAAAAAAACCTCCCCAAACCCCAAAAACCTCCCCCTAAACCTTTCCTGAACCTCCCCCCAAAATCCACCCATAACGCTTCCCTAAAGCCTCCCAAGACCCCCCAAAGCCCCCCAGGACCCCCCAAACCCCCCAAAGCCCCCCAGGCCCCCACCTGGCTGAGCTCGTGCAGGGGGTCCCTGAGTCTCCGCCCCACTCCGCTGTGGGAGAAGGCGGGGCGGGGCGGGGGCTGGGCTGCCCTCTCCGCCATGGGCGGGGCTGCTCCCCGGGACTCCCGGGACCCCTTGGAGTCGGGGGCTCGGCGGCGCCTGCGGGGGAGGGGAGGGGTCAGTGAAGAGGGGGGGGGTCAGGAGAGGGGAGGATGGGGAGGCTTTTAGGGTCATTTTGGGGTTACTTTGGGGTTCTGAGGGTGCCAACCTGTGGGGATGATGGAGAGAGATTTTTGGGATTATTTTGGGGTTATTTTGGATTATTTTGGGGTTCTGAGTGTACGAACCTGTGGTGGTGGCGACGACAGATTTTTGGGGTTATTTTGGGGCTATTTTGGGGGTTTTTAGGGGTGCCAGACCTGTGGTGGTGACGAGGGGAGGTTCTTAAGGTTATTTTGGGGCTATTTTGGGGGGTTTTAGGGTGCCAGACCTGTGGTGGTGACGGGGGGATGTTTTTAGAGTTATTTTAAAGTTATTTTGGGGCTATTTTGGGGGTTTTTAGGGTGCCACACCTGTGGTGGTGACGGGGGGGCCGCTCTCGGACGCGCTGCGCTCTCCGGGCTCTTTGGGGCCCCCGGCCCCCTGGGCCCCTCCCCATCAGAGCTGGACTTTTTGCGGTCCTTGTTGCACCATTTCCAGTCCGGGTGGGCCTTGAAGTGAGCCTCCTTCACCTGGGGGGGAAAATGGGGTCAGAGCCACCCAGGAACCCCCAAAACACCCCCAGGACCCACCCCAGGACCACCAAAAATGCATCAGGATCTCCAAAATACCCCCAGGAACCCCCAAAACACCCCCAGGACCCACCCCAGGACCACCAAAACGCTTCAGGACCTCCAAAATACCCCCAGGAACCCCCAAAACACCCCCAGGACCCACCCCAGGGCCACCAAAAATGTATCAGGATCTCCAAAATACCCCCAGGAACCCCCAAAACACCCCCAGGACCCCAGAACCCACCCTAGGGCCACCAAAAATGTATCAGGATCTCCACATCCCCCCCAGGACCCCCAAAACACCCCCAGGACACCCAGAACCCACCCCAGGGCCACCAAAAACGCTTCAGGACCTCTACAACCCCCTAGGAACCCCCAAAACCCAACCTGGGATCTCCTGAAATCCTCCCAGGCTGCCCAAAACCACCCCAGGATCCCCCAAATCCCCTCTGGGACCCCCAGATCCCCCAGGACCCCTCAAATCCCCTGGGACCCCTCAAATCCCCAGGAGCCCCCAAATCCCCCAGGACCCCCAAATCCCCCAGACCCACCTGGAAGACCAGGTCGTGGTACTGCTGCTTCTCCCGGGGCCCCAGTGCGTCCCACCACTGCCCCAGGACCCCCAAATCCCTCTGGGACCCCCCAAATCCCTCTGGGACCCCCCAAATCCTCTGGGACCCCCAAATCCCCCCAGACCCACCTGGAAGGCCAGGTTGTGGTACTGCTGCTTCTCCCGGGCCCCAGCGCGTACCACCACTGACCCAGGACCCCCAAATCCCTCTGAGACCCCCAAATCCCCCAGGAGCCCCCAAATCCCCCAGGACCCCCCAGACCCACCTGGAAGGCCAGGCCGTGGTACTGCTGCTTCTCCCGTGGCCCCAGCGCGCACCACCACTGACCCAGGACCCCCAAATCCCCCTCCAGGACCCCCAAATCCCCCCAGGACCCCTCAGGACCCCCCCAGACCCACCTGGAAGGCCAGGTCGTGGTACTGCTGCTTCTCCCGGGCCCCAGTGTGTCCCACCACTGCCCCAGGACCCCCAAATCCCCTCTGGGACCCCCAAATCCCCCCAGGACCCCCAAACTCCCCCTAGGACCCCCTAAATCCCTCTCCAGGACCCCGCAAATCCCCCCCAGAACCTCCCAAATTCCCCCAGGACCCCCCAAATCCCCCCCAAATCCCCCCCAGACCCACCTGGAAGGCCAGGTCGTGGTACTGCTGCTTCTCCCGGGGCCCCAGCGCGTACCACCACTCGCCCAGGATCTTGCTGACGGTGCGGTTGTCCTGGTTGGGGTGTCTCTGGTGCACCAGCGCCCGGTGCCTCTTGCTGAAGATCATGAAGGCGTTCATGGGCCGCCGGATGTGGTCCTTCTCCCGCTGGAAAGGGGCGTGGTTAGTCAGGACACACCCACAAGGGGTGGGGCCAACCCCCAATTAAGGGTATAACTTAATAAATAAACTCCTGGGGGCGGGGTCAAAGCCACCCCCATGTAAGGGCAAATGGGAGGGGCTTTTGGATAACGGGGGGGTGGGGTCAGAGCTGGCCACGCCTCCAAGGTGTGGATGGGGCACACCCACAAGTGGGAGGAGCCAGGAAATGCCCCACCCCCACCACGGGCTCCTTCAATTGAGGAAACGAATTTTGTTGGTTTGGGGAGGTGTTTGGGGGTCCCTGGGGTGGTTGTGGGGTGATCTGGGCTGTTTTTGGGGTGTGTTTTGGGGCTGCTTTTGGGGTGTATTTTGGGCTGTTTTTGGGGTGTATTTTGGGCTATTTTTGGGATGTATTTGGGGCTGGTTTTGGGGTGTATTTTAGGCTGGTTTTGGGGTGTGTTTTGGGGGGTCTCTGGCAAGGTCTGGGCTGGTTTTTTGGGGTCCCACCTTGCTGGGGCTCCTGCCCTCCTTGTCCCCATCGTTGGGACGGGAACAGAGGGGACTGAGCTGGGATTTTGGGGTGGATTTTGGGGAAGTCTGGGCTGTTTTTGGGGTGTATTTTGGGGCTGTTTTGAGGTGTGTTTTGGGGAGGTCTGGGCTGTTTTTGGGGTGGATTTTGGGGAGATCTGGGCTGGTTTTTTGGGGTGTGTTTTGGAGCTGTTTTTGGGGTGTGTTTTGGGCTGTATTTTGGGGTATGTTTTGGGGAGGTCTGGGCTGTTTTGGGGTGTGTTTTGGGGGTGATTTGGGGTCCCACCTTGCTGGGGCTCCTGCCCTCCTTGTCCCTGTCCTTGGGCAGGGAGCAGAGGGAGCTGAGCTGGGATTTTGGGGTGGATTTTGGGGAGGTCTGGGCTGTTTTTGGGGTCCCACCTTGCTGGGGCTCCTGCCCTCCTTGTCCCCGTCCTTGGGCAGGGCGCTCAGCGACTGCGTCCGGCGCTTGCCGGGCACCAACGGCAGCGGCAGCTCCGGGGCCACCAACGATGACAGGAACCTGGGGGGACACAGGGACAGCTGGGGGGGACCTGGGGGACAGGGAACCTGGGGGACACAGGGAAACCTGGGGGCAGGGACAGCTGGGGGACAGGGAACCTGGGGGACACAGGGACAGCTGGGGGACACAGGGACAGCTGGGGGGACACAGGGACAGCTGGGGGACAGGGACAGCCTGGGGGACAGGGAACCTGGGGGACACAGGGACAGCTGGGGGACAGGGACAGCTGGGGGACACAGGACAGCTGGGGGCCAGGGAACCTGGGGACAGGGAACCTGGGGGACACAGGGACAGCTGGGGGACAGGGACAGCTGGGGGACACAGGGACACATGGGGGACACAGGGACAGCTGGGGGGACAGGGGAACCTGGGGGGAACAGGGACAGCTGGGGGGGACACAGGGACAGCTGGGGGACAGGACACCTGGGGGGACACAGGACAGCTGGGGGACACAGGACAGCTGGGGGGACACAGGAACACATGGGGGACACAGGGACAGCTGAGGGGACACAGGGACAGCTGGGGGACACAGGGACACATGGGGGGGACAGGGGAACCTGGGGGGACACAGGGACAGCTGGGGGGCACAGGGACAGCTGGGGGGACACAGGGACAGCTGGGGGGTACAGGGACACAGGGGACAGGCCCAGGGGTGGGGCCAGGATGATAAAAATGAACCCTGGGAGGCAGGATCAGGTCAGAGAAGGTTTGGGAGTCTCTGTGGCGTTACAGCAGCAATTCAGGGATCTCTGTGGGGTCCATGGGTCTCTGTGGGGTCCTGTGGGGTTCAGGGGTCTCTGAGGGGTCTCTGGGGTCCCCTGTGTTCCCCGTGGGGTCTCAGGAGGTCCCAGTGGAGTCTCTGTGGGTCTCAGGGGTCCCTGTGACTCTCAGGGGTCCCCGTGGGTCTCAGGGGGTCCCCGTGGCTCCCAGGGGGTCCCTGTGGGGTCTCAGGGGTCCCCGTGGCTCCCAGGGGGTCCCCGTGGCTCCCAGGGGTCCCTGTGGGGTCTCAGGGGTCCCCCTGGGTCTCATGGGGTTCCTGTGGGGTCTCAGGGGTCCCAGTGGCTCCCAGGGGGTCCCTGTGGGGTCTCAGGGGGTCCCCGTGGCTCCCAGGGGGTCTCTGTGGGGTCCCCACTCACGCGTCATCGTGGTCGCTCTCGGTCTCGCTGTCAGGGCGGTTCCCCCCCCCGGGAGGCTCCTCCTCGGTGGGCGGGGCCGTGGCCGCGGGGGCGGGGCCGGGGGCCGCAGGGGGGCTGGGGGGCCGCGTGGCCCCCCCGCAGCGTCCGGGCTCCTGCCCCGCCCCCCCCGGCTCAGGGGCCACCGCGGCCGACTCGGGGGGCTCTGCGGGAGGGGGGGAGGGGCGTCAGGGACCATGCCCGGGATGGGCGTGGCCACAGCGACCACACCCAAATGAGGGCGTGTCATGGGCTGGGTGTGGTCACAGACCACGCCCAGGGTGTGTCTGTGAGTGACCACACCCCTGTGGGTGTGTCTGTGAGCGACCACACCCCTGTGGGTGTGTCTAAGTGACCACACCCCCATGGGCATGTCTGTCAATGACCACACCCCCATGGGTGTGTCTGTGAGTGACCACACCCCCAATGGGTGTGTCTGAGTGACCACACTCCTCAGTGGGTGTGTCTGTGAGTAACCACACCCCTGTAGGTGTGTCTGAGTGACCACACCCCTGTGGGTGTGGCTGATTGACCACACCCCAATGGGTGTGTCTGAGTGACCACACCCCTGTGGGTGTGTCTGTGAGTGACCACACCCCCAATGGGTGTGTCTAAGTGACCACACCCCTCAGTGGGTGTGTCTGTGAGTGACCACACCCCCATGGGTGTGTCTGTCAATGACTACACCCCCATGGGTGTGTCTAAGTGACCACACCCCCAGTGCCTGTGGCTGATTGACCACACCCCAGTGGGTGTGTCTAAGTGACCACACCCCAGGGGGTGTGTCTGTGAGTGACCACATCCCTGTGGGTGTGTCTAAGTGACCACACCCCTGTGGGTGTGTCTGTCAACGACCACACCCCCCAGTGGGTATGTCTGTGAGTGACCACACCCCCCAGTGGGTGTGTCCTAGGCTCACCTTTGCTCTGGATTGGCCGAGGGGTGGCTGACGGGCTGCAGGCCGGCGGGGGGCTGCGGGGGTCGGGCTGGCTCGGGGCCAGGAAGGGCACCAGGGAGTGCCAGGGAACACGGGCACCGGGCGGCTCACGTTGGTCCACACTGAGGAGAGACACGGGTCAGGGGACACCTGGGGGCTCAGGGACACCTGAGGGTCACCTGCATGGACTCCCAGAATCCCCAGAGCCCCCCAGAGGCACCGAGTGCGGCTCACGTTGGTCCACACTGAGGGGAGACACGGGGGTCACCCGTGCATGGCCCCCACCCCCAAAATCCCCCTGACCCCCAGAGACCCCTCAGAGCGGCACCAGCGCGGCTCCACGTTGGTCCACACTGAGGGGAGAGACGGGAGTCACCCTGCATGGCCCCCACCCCAAAAACACCCCTAGAGCCCCCTCAGAGCCCCCCAGAGAGGCACCGCGGCTCCACGTTGGTCCACACTGCGGGGAGACACGGGGTCAGGGACACCTGGGGGTCAGGGACACCTGGGAGTCACCCTGCATGGACCCCACCCCCAAAAACACCCCTGACCCTCCCCAGAGCGGCTCCACGTTGGTCCACACTGAGGGAGGACACAGGGGTCACCCTGCATGGCCCCACCCCAAAATCCCCTGACCCCCAGTGAGAGAGAGTGACAGGACATGGGGGGAACACAAAGGGGGTCACCCCTGCATGGCCCCCACCCCAAAACCTCCCCTGACCCTCCCCATGTTTGTGACAGTGACAGGACATGGGGGGGACACAAAGGGGGTCACCCCTGAATGGCCCCACCCCCCAGAACCCCCGTGTGTGACACGCGTGTGACACGCGTGTGGCAGCGCCAGGGGGTCCCTGTGGGTGCATCCCGGGCTCAGGGGACACCTGGACCCCCCCAGGACCGCCCCAAAGTCCTTCCTGATCCCCCAAATCCCCCAGTGTCCCCCAACCCTCCCAGGTGCCCCATTGCCTCAGGGGCCACCCCAAACTCTCTCCAAAATTCCAGGAGCCCCTCCCAGATACCCCAAAATCCCCTCAAACGCCCCCCCCAAATCCCTCACCCCTCCAAATCCCCCTCACAGACACTCCCAATTCACCTCAGAGACCTCAAATCACCCCAAAGTCCTTCAGGACTCTCCCAAACCCCCTCACAGCTCCCAGCCCTCCCCACAAACCCCATCATTCCCTCACAGGACCCCCAAAATCCCCTCACAAACCCCGTCATTCCCACACAGAGCCCCTCCAAAATCACCTCAAACCCCACGGATCCCTCCCAGGACCTCCAAAATCACCACGAGCCCCACAAAGACCCCCCCAGACCCCACAATTTCCTCACAGAACCCCTCACAGAGAGTTCACATCCCCTCACAGACCCCATCATTTCCTCACAGAGACTCCAAAGCTCCTCACAACTCACACCATCCCCTCACAGAGCCCCCCCAAAATCCCCTCAGAGACCCCAAATCCTCCTCAGATACCCCATGAACTCCTCACAGAGAGCCCGAAATCGCCTTGGAAACCCCCTCAACGATCTCAAATCGCCTCAGAGACCCCAAAGCCCCCCACGGACCTCATGCCCTCACAGAGCCCCCCACACCCCCTCAGGGACAGTGATGCTGCCCCACAGACCCCTCACAGATCCCCCATCCTCTCACAAATCCTCCATCCCATCACAGACCCCTCATCCCTTCACAGAGTCCCCATCCCCTCACAGAGCCCCCCAGACTCCCTCAGGGACGGTGATACCACCCTGCAGACCCTCACAGAGCCCCCATCCCCTCACAGACCCCCACCCCCTCACAGAGCTCCCCATCCCCTCACAGATCCCTCACAGATCTTCTCCATCCCCTTACAGACCCCTCACAGACCCCCATTCCCTCACAGACCCCTCACAAACCCCATTATCCACTCACTGAAACCCCCACCCCCTCATAGAGCCCCCACTATCCCACAGACCCCCACTCCCCCACAGACCCCCTCACAGATCCCATTCTCCTCTTACAGACGCCCCATCCCCTCACAGACCCCTCATTCCCTCAAAGACTCTCACAGCCCCCATCCCATCACAGAACCCCTGTCCCATCACAGACCACTCCATCCCATCACGGACCCCCCATCCCCTCACAGACCCCTCACAAACCCCATTATCCGCTCACCGGCCCCCACCCCTCACAGCCCCCTATCCCATCACAGACCCCCATCCCCTCACAGACCTCTCATAGATCCTTCGCAGACCCCACGATCCCCTCACAGACCACCCCATCCCTCACAAACCCCGTTATCCCCACAGACCCTCATCCCCTCACAAACGCCCCCATCCCCTCACAGATCCCTCATCCTATCACAGACCCGCGATCCCCTCACAGACCGCGTTATTCCCCCATGAACCCCTCACAAACCACCCCATCCCCTCGCAGACCCCCATCCCCTCAGAAACCCCCCATCCCTCATAGACCCCTCCTACCCCACAGACCCGCGATCCTCACGGACCCTCATCCCCTCACAAACCACCCCATCCCCTCACGGACCCCGATCCCCACACAGACCCCGATCCCTCACAAACCACCCCCATCCCTCACAGACCCCCATCCCCAGAAACCCCCATCCCCTCATAGACCACTCCTACCCCACAGACCCCGCGATCCCCTCACAGACCTCTCATCCCCTCACAAACCACCCCCATCCCCTCACGGACCCCGCGATCCCCACACGAACCCCCCATCCCCTCAGAGCGCCCCTTCCCGCCCCCGGCACCGACCGAACATGCCGAGGCCTCTGCGCGAGGCGGGCCGCGGGCGGGAGGGCGGTGGAGGAGGACATGGCGGGCCCCGGGGGTTCCCGGGGGTTCCCGGGGTTCCGGGGGTTCAGGAGTCCCGCGGGGCTCTGGGTCGGTCCCGGGGGTCCTGGGGTCCTGGGGTCCCGGCCAGGGCCGCCGCCCGCGCCCGCCGCGCGCAGGGAAGGGCGCGCGCCCCCCCCGCGCCCCGCACCGCGCACGCGCCGCGCCCGCCCGCGCCCCATTGGCCGCCGCGCCGCGCGCATGCAAATGAGGCGGGGCGCTCCCCGCGCTCCCATTGGCCGAGCGGCCCCCCGGGGGGGAGGGGCGCGCATGCAAATGAGCTCCCCCCCGCCCTCCCTAAGCCCCGCCCGCCGCCGCCGCCGCCCATTGGAGGGCGCGCGCGCGTATGCAAATGACGGCTCTCCCCCTTCCCCCGCCGCCCGCGCGTATGCAAATGAGGGGGGCGCTCCCGCCCCCGCGCGCCGCGCCCATTGGACGGCGCGCCCCGCGTATGCAAATGAGGCGGGGCGCTCCCCGCCCGCCCCCGCCCGGGCCACGCCCACGCGCGCCGCGGAGGCCACGCCCACGCGCCATCTCAAAGCCACGCCCAGCGCCGGCCCAGCGCCGGCCACGCCCACCGCGGTGGGAGGGGTCAGTGTGACGTCACCGCGGCCGCGAGGTGATGTCACCGCGACTCAGCGAGGCCTCGGCGAGGCCCGCTCTGACGTCACCGTGACGTCACCGTGACGTCACTGCAAAGCCACACACGCGCCCGGAGGTCACGAGCCACGTCCGTGATGTCACAACCCCCTGACGACCTCTGACCTCACTGCGACCCGGCCGTGACCTCTTGACCTCCCAACGCAGCCATGACGCTGCTCTGTCACACCTGGGACATGCCTGGGATACGCCCTGACACACGCCCTGACACACCTGGGACACGCCCTGAGACATGCCTGGGACACGCCTGGGACACACCCTGACACACCTGGGACATGCCCTGACACACCGTGGGACACGCCTGGCGACTGGGACACGCCCTGAGACACCTGGGACACGCCTGGGACACACCTGGGCCATGCCCTGCCCCGCCCTGCCAAGGCTGTTGCTCTGCCCAGCCCCATCCACGCCCCCTCAGCCACGCCCTGCCCCACCCCGCCCCCGGGGCCACGCCCTGGCCACGCCCTGGCCACGCCCGTCCCTTACCTGTGCCGGGGCGGCCCATGACGATCTCCTTGCGGGGGGCCGGGGGGGTCCCGTAGTCTCCGGGCACGAGGAGGGGCAGGAGGGCGGCGGGGGAGGTGAAAGGCCACGAGGTGCAGGGGCCCTCGAAGGGCGGGTCCGGGTGGTGGGGGCCCTGTCGGGGCGCGGGGCGCGGCGGGGGCGCGGAGGCGGGCGGGGCGGCGCAGCCGGCCGGCGTTGATGGGCACGGGGCGGCCAGGGCGGCTTTCTGGGGGCAGCGGGCGGGGCCGCGGGGGGGGCTCGGGCAGGGGCACCTCGGGGTTGCGCACGATGACCGGGGAGCCCCTCGGCACCGCCGGCACGCGCCGCGCCCCCGGGCCGGGGTCGGCCGTGAGCCCGCGGGAGCGGGCGAGAGCGGGGACAGCGCCGAACGCGCCCCCCCCGCCCCCGGGGGGCTCGGGCGGCTCCGGCGGGGGCGGCTCCGCCTTGCGCTTGCCGGGGCTCAGCGGCACCGAGAGGGCAGGCCGGGCTGGAACGGGGCGGGACCCCGAGGGGCGGGGCGCGGCGAGGCGGCGGGGCGGCGGGGGGCGGGGGGCTGAGCCCCTCGCCGGGCCGGGGGGTGCCGGCGCTGAGGTGGCGGCCGCGGGCGCGGGGCGAGGCCGTGACGGGGCTGAAGTTGGCGGGGCGGAAGCCGAAGAGGGGCGAGGGGGACGGCGACGGCGCGGGCGAGAAGGGCGACTGGGTGGAGGCGGGCGAGAAGCTGGGCGTGCCCGAGCGGGAGCTGCCCAGCGACACCAGCATCACGGCGGCCTCGCACTCGTCGAACTCGAAGCGCGACAGGTCCGGGTTGGGGTTGGGGGGCCCGTGCGGACCCCCCAGGCGGGGCGGGGGGCCCCTCCCGTCGCCGTCGCTCTCCCGCGACGTCTCGTCCCACTCGAAGTCGGCGCTGCCCCCGCGCGGCCCCCCCGGGGGCGCCGGGCCCGGGGGGCCCCCCCTGCCCTCGGGCAGCCCCTCGAGCTCCTTGGTGCGCATGGAGAGGTGGCGGGAGCAGAAGCCGCGGCGCTGGGACTCCTTGGTGCAGCCGTCGCGCGAGCAGAGCCGGCGCCACTGCTTCCCGTTGAACTTCTTGCGGATGCCGTTGGGGGTGCACACCACGTCCCCCTTCTTGTACTTGGGCTGGGGTCCCGGCGGGCCGCCCGGCCGGGCCCGGCGTGGGGCGCGGGGCGCGGCGGGGCCCGGGCGGGCGCGGGGGCCGCGCTGAGCTTCGACACCTCGGCGTCCTCGGGGCCCCGCGGGCCGACTCCTCGTCCTCGTCGTCGCCGGGGGCTCGCGGGCGCGCCGGGGCGGCGGCGCGCCCCGCCGTGGGGGCCAGGGGCCGCAGCAGGCGCAGCCCGAGCGGGGCACCCAGACGGGGGCGCGGGGCGGGCGCGAGCGCACGCGGTACGAGGGGGGCTTGGCGCTCACCTCCACCACCGTGCCCGGCCGGTACAGCGTCTCCTGCGGGTCCAGGCGGGCGCACACGGCCGTGCCCACGCCCAGCGCGCCCGCCGGGGGTGGCGTCCAGCACCACGGCCGGGGGGTCGCCCAGCAGGCCCCCCTCCAGGAAGGTGATGCCGCGGTCGCCGGCGAACTGCACGCCCAGGTCGAGGCCGCGCCGCAGCTGCTTCACCACGGCCGGCCGGAAGACGCCGTCACGCCGCGCCAGGACCCGCTGGCACCGCAGGCGCCGGAACGCGGCCTCGGCCGGCCCGGGGCGGCCCGGGGGCGCCGGGGGTCCCCGGGTCGCGCCCCTCGTCGGCCGAGTGCTCGCTGGCCGTGTCGGTGCTGGAGCAGCCGCTGCCGGGCCTCCCGGCCCCCACAGCGGGGGACGTCGCCCACGAGGCCCAGGGGGTCGCCCTCGCCGGGGGTCTCCGGGGGTCCCGGGCTCGCCGGGGGTGGGTTTCTTGCGGGGGCGCGGGATTTGAAGGTGGTGGTTTTGCGGCTGGGCGGGGGGCTCGTCGGGGTGGGGGCAGCGGCGGGGGGAGGGGGAGGGCTGGGGGGCGGGCTGGGGGTCACCGGGGGTCGCTCGGGGGTCGCTCGGGGGTCGCAGGGGCGTCGAGGTCGTCGCGGCGCTTTTGGGGGCGGGGGTTTGGGGTGGCCCGGGGGCAGAGCGGGCGGCCCCGAGGATGAGGAGGAGGAGGAGGAGGAGGAGGAGGAGGAGGAGGAGCCGCCGGCCTTCCTCGCCGGCTTCATCGTCCTCCCGCCGGGCCGGCACCGTTGAGGTCCTGCGGGGACACGGGGGTCACGGGGGGGTCATGGGGTGAGATCCCCCAAAAATAACCCCATGGGACGAGGGTGAACCCAAACACGGGGGAAAGAAACGCCCCCAAAATGATCCCATCCCCCAGTGACTCTGGGGGACCCCAAATATGGGGGACTGAGACCCCCCCCCCCAAAATAACCCCCCGGGGGAGGGGGGGACTCTGGAGGGACCCAAATTTATGGGACAGAGACCCCTCCCCAAAATAAACTCACGGGGTGGGGGTGACCCCAAATATGCAGGGACAGAGACCCCCAAAAATACCCCCAGTGACACCCCAAATTTAGAGGCAGGAGTCAGAGACCCCCCGCCCCCAAATAACCCCCGGGATGGGGTTCTTGGCTGGGGGGGGCTGTGACAGCCCCGGACCCCCAAAATCTGGGGTGTGACCCCAGGGGAGGGACAACCAAAGTGGGGGTCCCGGCACCTCTCTGCCCCCGGGGTGGGCTCGGGGGTCTCCACCCACGGGGGATCAGGGGACACTTTGGGGGTCCGGGGACACCCTGACCCCTCCCCCCACTAGGCCTCACCCCCCCTTCCCCACGGGGGCCCTCCCAATTCCTACTGCGGGGGAGGGGCAACACCTTAAACTGAACGTGGGGACCCCAAATCGGGAGGGGGAGACCCCCAAAAGTTGGGGGAGGGAGGCACTTCCGGGGGCTCCGCCCCTCCCGCGGGGGTGACACGTCACGGCGCCCCTCCCCCTCGGCCCTCCCCTGCCCTCCCCGGGGTGGAGGTCCGACCCCCTTCAGGGCCCCCGGTACCTGCGCCCCCGCGGCCGCAGCGCCCTCGGAGCCCCCTTTTTAACTCCGGCCGACAAAATGGTGAATGGAGCGGCCGCAGCGGCCGAGCAGCCAATCAGCGCCCACAACCGCCCGACGGGCGGGCCGCCCGGCCAATCGGCGGCGCGGAAACCCCGCCGGCGTCCCGCCCCCTCCGCCGGCGCTGACAGTGGCCAATGGGCGGGCGCGGGGGGCGGGGCCGCGCCGTACAGTAGCCAATGGGCGGGCGCGGGGCGGGGCCGCGGTGGCCAATGGCGGCGGGGCGCAGGACCCGCGGGTTGTTTACCTTGCGGGTCGCACGAAATGTTGGGGGGAGGGAGAAAAGGGGGAGGGTAAGAAGGAGGGTGGAAAAGGGGCGGGGTTTTACGCAGTGCGTGCCAGGGGCGCCCGAGGCGCCTACAGCTCCGTCGTGCCCCGCGCGCCGCGGAGCCCCCGGGAAGGCGAGTCCCCCGGACTGCACTTCCCGGCGTGCCCGCGCGGGCCCCGCCCTCCCGCCCCCTCCCCCTCACAGCCGGCCCGGGGAGGGGAGGGCGAGGGGGGTCCCGCAGGGGGAGGGGTGGGGAGGGGTCGGCCCCGCGGGGCCCCCCCGGTCGGGACCCTCGCCCCGCGGGGCTGGAGCTCACCCGGCGGCCGCTCCGGTGCCTCCGGCCCCGCTCGGCCCGTCCGCGCTTCCCCTCGGCAACAGCGGAGCCGCCGCCGGCAGCGGCCCAATCAGCGGCCGCGCCGGGCCCCGCGGACACGCCCACCCCGCCCCCCCACGTGGGGCCTCCGGAGGGGGCGGGGCCGCCCCGCGGCCAATGGCGGCGCGGGGGAGGCCGAGCGATGAGGTCACCGCGGGGCGCTCCCATTGGCCGAGCGCGCCGACCAATCCGGGACGCGTTGGGGGGAGAGAGGCGTGTGTGACACGCTGGAGCCGCGAGGCCACGCCCACCCCGCGAGGCCACGCCCCTTAGGAATAAACCACGCCCCAATTGAATAAACCACGTCCCGTATCAATAAACCACGCCCCGTAGGAAGAAACCACGCCTTATTTAAATAAATCACGCCCCGTTTAAATAAACCACGCCCCGAATGAATAAACCACGCTGCGTATGAATAAGCCACGCCCTATTTAAATAAGCCACGCTGCGTGTGAATAAACCACGCCCCTCCACTGAGTTCGGCCACGCCTCTCCTTCGGCGCACGCGCAGAGCGCCCCGCGCTGCCTCAGTTTCCCCACGCGCGTTCGGAAGGGGGCGTGGCCCCAGCGTGGGGGAGGGGGAGGGGCGTGGGCGTGTCTCCTGCTGCGACCCCTCCCCACCCCTCCCTCCCAAAACTCCCCCTCGCCGCTCATTAAACCGCGCGGGAAGCTGAATAATTAGTGAGGGTTATTGACAGCCCGGGCGCTGGGGAGGGCCCCCTCCCTCCCCGTATTTGGGGGTCACGCTCCACCCTCCCCTCCCCCGAGACTCCCTCGCCCCTCCCCACCCCCAAAAGCGCTCGCGGTTCCTTTAAGTGCGGTGGGCGTGGCCTGTGGGAAGTGGGCGTGGCTCGGTCGCCATGGCCACGCGGCGCTGACGCGGAGGGGCAGTGGCCGGGGGTGGGGGAGGGGCAGGCTGTGCTTTGGGGGCGTGTCCCGGGGCGGGGGGTGGGGAGGGGCGGCGGGAGGGGGTTGGCCGGGCCGGGGGAGGGGAGGGGAGGGGAGGGGGAGGGGGCGCCGCGATCGCGACGGCGGCGGCAGCGGAGCCATGAAGACTCCGGCGGACGCAGGTGGGGACTGAGACCCCAGGACCCCCAGGCCCCAGGACCCCAGGCGCGGTGGGGAGGGGGCCGCGAAGCTTTGGGGTGGGGGATCCCCCTCCCCCCGTCCTTTTCCCACGCGGGGAATGGGGGAGGAAGAACTGCCCCCTCCCCCTCCCCAGCGCCGCAAAGTTTCTCCCCTCCCCCGCCCCCCGCGTGGGGAGGCAGCCCCCTGCCCGCGCGTGACCCCCGGGAATTTGGGGCTGGGGGGTCAGCCGCCCTCCCCCTCCCGAGGCCCCGCCGGAGTTTCGGGACCTGTTGCGTGTCCCCCGCGCGGTGGGGAGGGCGGGACCCCACGCGCCCCTCCCACCCCCGCCGCGTTCCCACGGGGGCGAGTTCCCCCTCACTCGGGGGGGTTGGGAGGTCCATCCCTCCCCACGCGTGGGGGGGTGAGGAGGGCCGTGCCACGTTGTGTGTTTGGAAGGGGGCGGTGGGACCGCCCCTCCCCGCGGAGGGTGGGGGGCTTTGGGGGGTTTTGGGGAGGTTTTGAGGAGGCAGAAACTTTTGAGAGGCACCGCGTTAATTGATTCATTAGCGGGGGGTAGTGGGGGTCCTTATTTGGGCAGGGGTCCCCGCGCCCCTCCCCCTCAGGCCTGCTCAAACGTGACCCCTCCCCCTCCCGGCCACGGCCCCTCCCCACGGCCCGCCTCCCCACGGCCACGCCCCTCCCCACGGCCGGGGCGCCCCTGCTGGAGGGGCAGGGACCCCACGTGGTGTCACCCCAAAATCTGGGGGTGGTCGTGGATTGAGGGGTCCCAAAGTTGGGGGGTCCCAAAGTTGGGGGTCACAAAGTTGGGGTCCCAAAGTTTGGTGATCCCAAGTTGGGGTCCCAGTTGGGTCTCAAGTTGGGGTCAGGGCATCCCGAGGGGCTCTTTTTGGGGGCTGCTCCCGGAGAGAGGGGTTCGGACCCCTGATCCCACTTCGGGAGGGTCCCGATTTTGAGGGTGGGAGGGTCTCAGACAGCGGGGTCCCCACTTGGGAGGTTGAGGCCAGATTTGGGGTGTCCTGATTGGCTGGGGGGCAGTTTGGGGGGTCCTGATTGGCTGTGGGGCAGTTTTTGGGGTGTCCCTGGGTCGGGGGGGCTGCATTTGGGGTCCTTGACTCCTTCTGGGGCTGCATTTGGGGTCCCCACCTGGTTATGGGACCGTTCAGGGGGTCCCTGTGTCACTTTGGGGTCCCAGTGTCACTTTGGGGGTCTCAGTGTCACTTTTGGGGTCCCTGTGTCACTCAGGGGGTCCCCCTGTCCGTCTGAGGGGTCCCTGTGTCCCTTTGGGGGTCCCAGTGTCAGTTTTGGGGTCCCCGTGTCCCTCTGGGGCCATTCAGGGGTCCCTGTGTCACTTTTGGGGTCCCTGTGTCCCTCTGGGGGTCCCTGTGTCCCTCTGGGGCCGTTCAGGGGTCCCTGTGTCAGTTTTGGGGTCCCAGTGTCACTTTTAGGGTACCTGTGTCACTCTGGGTGTCCCCCTGTCCCTCTGAGTGGTCCCCGTGTCCCTTTGGGGGTCCCAGTGTCACTTTTGGGGTCCCCCTGTCCCCCTGAGTGGTCCCCCTGTCCCTCTGAGGGGTCCCAGTGTCACTCAGGGTGTCCCCGTGTCCCTTTGGGGCCGTTCAGGGGTCCCTGTGTCAGTTTTGGGGTCCCTGTGTCACTCTGGGGGTCCCTCTGAGGGGTCCCCGTGTCCCTCTCAGGGGTCCCAGTGTCAGTTTTGGGGTCCCTGTGTCACTTTTGGGGTCCCTGTGTCCCTTTGGGGTCCCCCTGTCCCTCTGAGGGGTCCCTGTGTCCCTCTGGGGCCGTTCAGGGGGTCCCCGTGTCAGTTTTGGGGTCCCTGTGTCAGTTTTGGGGTTCCTGTGTCCCTTTGGGGGTCCCCCTGTCCCTCTGCAGTGGTCCCTCTGTGTCAGTTTTGGGGTCCCAGTGTCACTCAGGGTGTCCCCGTGTCCCTCTGGGGCCGTTCAGGGGTCCCAGTGTCACTTTGGGGTCCCCCTGTCCCTCTGAGGGGTCCCCGTGTCACTTTGGGGTCCCCCTGTCCCTCTGGGGCCGTGTCAGGGGTCCCTGTGTCAGTTTTGGGGTCCCCGTGTCCCTCTGGGGCCGTTCAGGGGGTCCCCGTGTCAGTTTTGGGGTCCCTGTGTCCCTTTGGGGTCTCAGTGTCACTTTGGGGTCCCCGTGTCCCTCTGAGGGGTCCCAGTGTCAGTTTGGGGTCCCTGTGTCACTTTTAGGGTCCTGTGTCACTCTGGGGTCCCCGTGTCCTCTGGGGCCGTTCAGGGTCCCCGTGTCAGTTTAGGGTCCCTGTGTCCCTCTGGGAGTCCCTCTGAGTGGTCCCCATGTCCCTCTGGGGCCGTTCAGGATCCCCCTCCCCCGTCAGGCACAGAGGCCCCATTGAGGCCCCGCTGATCTCACCCCCTCCCCCGGCCGAGAACAGACCCCAGTGTGTGCAGGGACCCCTCCCCACCCGCCCCTCCCCCGCGAGGACTCCGGCCAGCCTGGGGGGAGGGGGGCTGCTCAGGGGGCTTTGGGGGGAGGGAGCTGCTTTGGGGTCAGGGGTTATGGGGGGATGGTTTGGGGGGCTGCTTTGGGGGAGGGGCTGCTCGGGGGCTGGTTTTGGGGGAGCTGGTTTGGGGGAGGGGGCTGGTTTGGGGTCCCGGGTTATGGGGGATGGTTTGGGAGGCTGTGATTTTTAGGGGTGCTCCGTGGAGGCTCGTTTAGGGGCGACCCCAAAGCCCCAGAAGTGCTGGGTTTGGGGGGCTCTTTTGGGGCTCTTTTGGGGGCTGTTTGGGGGTTCTTGGGGCTGTTTGGGGGTTCTTTTGGGGGCTCTTTTGGGGCTGTTTGGGGTCTCTTTTGGGGCCTCTTTGGGGGCAGTTTTAGGGCTGCTTTTTGGGGCTGTTTTAGGGCCCCTTTGCTGCTGTTTTGGGGCAGTTTGGGGCCGGTTTGGGGCTGTTTTAGGGCTGGGTTTTGGGGTATTTTGGGGTAGTTTTAGGGCTGATTTTTGGGGCTATTTTAGGGCCCTTTTGCTGCTGCTTTGGGGCTGGTTTTGGAACAGTTTTGGGGCCGTTTTTGGGGCAGTTTTAGAGCTGTTTTTTGGGGTATTTTGGGGCTGTTTTGGGGCTGGTTTGGGGGCAGTTTTAAGGCTCGTTTTTGGGGCAGTTTTAGGGCTGCTTTTTGGGGTATTTTGGGGCCGTTTTGGGGCCGTTTCGGGGGGGGCAGGTGGGGAGTTCTGTTTTTAGGGTGCGGGACTGAGTCACCCCCTCCCCGGGGGCGTTTTTGGGGGCGGTTCCGGGGGGAGGGTTTATTTTTAGCGTCTCGCGTTGCCTGGCAACAGGATGGGGGGAGGGAGGAGGGGACCAAAATCCCATCCTGGGAGGGCCCAAAATCGCAGGGGGCCCCCAAAATCTCGCTGGGGAGGGAAGCCCGAGACCACCCAGGGGAGTTTGGGGTCGGGGAGCCTGAGACCACCCGGGGGGGTTTGGGGGTCTGGAGCTCATCCCGGGGGTTTGGGGAGGTTTGGGGGGTCTGAGCTCATCCCGGGGGCGGGGTTGGGGGAGTCTGAGGTCATCCCGGGGGGTTGAGGGGTCAGGGGGTCTGAGCTCATCCCGGGGGTCTGAGCTCATCCTGGGCAGGTTTGGGGGTTGGGGGGCTCTGAGCTCATCCTGTGGTCGCTGAATTATTGATGCTCCCGGCGCCGGAGGAGGAGGGCAGGGGAGGTGTCTTGGGGGCGTTTGGGGGTCACAGAAGGGGTTTGAGGGGTCAGGGGGGTCACAGAAGGGGTTTGGGGGCACGGGGGGTTAAGATGGGGGTTGAGGGTGATTTTGGGGGGAAGGGCTCAAGGAAGGAATTGTCCTCCTCGTGCCTCTCCTCGTGCCCCCAGGGGTTTGGGTTCCCCGAGTGGGCTCAGGGGGTCTTGGGGGTCTTTCCTGCCCCAGGGGTATCAAGGGCTCTTGGGGGTCTCAGGGGAGTCTCCTGTCCCGGGGGTCTCTCCTGTTCTGGGGGTCTCAGGGGTCCCAGGGGGTCTCTCCTGTCCTGGGGAGCTTCTCCCATCTCAGGGGGTCTCAGGGGCTCTCGAGGTGTCTCAAGGGGGGTCTCAGAGGGTCTCTCCTGTCCTGGGGGTCTCAGGGGCTCTTGGGGTGTCTCAGGGGGTCCCGGGGGTCTCAGGGGGTCCCGAGTGGGCTCAGGGGGTCCTGGGGGATCTCAGGGGTCTCAGGGGTCCTGGGTGGGCTCAGGGGTCCCGGGGTCCCAGGGGGTCTCAGGGGTCTCTGCCCCCCGCAGGGTTCGCGCTCCCGAGTGGGCGTACAAGGCGAGTCGAGCCCTGGGGGCTCAGGGGGTCTCAGGTGGGCTCAGGGGTCTCTCCTGTCCCGGATGGGCTCAGGGGGTCCTGGGGTGTCCCGGGGTCTCAGGGGGTCTCAGGGTCTCTGTCCCCCGCAGGGTTCCGCGTCCCCGAGTGGGCGTACAAGGCGGAGTCGAGCCCTGGGTGGGCTCAGGGGGTCCCGGGGATCTCAGGGGGTGTCTCAGGGGGTCTCAGGGGGTCTCAGGGGGTCTCAGGGTGTCCCAGGGGGTCTCAGGGGTCTCTCCTGTCCCCCCGCAGGGTTCGCGTTCCCCGAGTGGGCGTACAAGGCGGAGTCGAGCCCTGGGTGGGCTCAGGGGGGTCCCGGGGGATCTCAGGGTGTCTCAGGGGGTCTCAGGGTGTCCCTGGGGGTCCTGGGGTCCCAGGGGTCTCAGGGTGTCTCTGCCCCCCCGCAGGGTTCGCGTTCCCCGAGTGGGCGTACAAGGCGGAGTCGAGCCCCGGGTGGGCTCAGGGGGTCTCAGGGTGTCTCGGGGGTCTCAGGGTGTCCCAGGGGGTCCCAGGGGGTCCCAGGGGGTCTCAGGGGAGCTCAGGGGTCCTCTGGTCCCAGGGGGTCTCAGGGGGGGTCTCAGGGTGTCCCAGGGGGGTTCTCAGGGGTCTCTCCTGCCCCGCAGGGTTCGCGTTCCCCGAGTGGGCGTACAAGGCGGAGTCGAGCCCCGGCTCGCGGCAGATCCAGCTGTGGCACTTCATCCTGGAGCTGCTGCGGCAGGAGCAGTACCGGGAGGTCATCGCCTGGCAGGGCGACTACGGCGAGTTCGTCATCAAGGACCCCGACGAGGTGGCCCGGCTGTGGGGGGTGCGCAAGTGCAAACCCCACATGAACTACGACAAGCTCAGCCGCGCCCTCAGGTCAGGGACCCCCCAAACACCCACCCCTGGGACCCCCAGACCCACCCAGACCCACCCAGGGACCCTCAAACCCACCCAGGGACCCCTCACACAACCCGTGTGTTTTGGGGGGTGTCTGGGGGTGTCTCAGTTGTTTTGGGGGCTGTATCCGGGTACTTTGGGGTGTATCCAGGTATTTTGGGGTGTATCCGGGTATTTTGGGGTGTATTCCTGCCTTTTAGGAATATCCAGGTCTCTGGGGGTCCCAGATGTTTTGGGGGGGTGTGCCCAGGTTTTTTGGGCTCTATCCTGGTATCTTGGGGGGTGTCCAGTTGTTTTTAGGTGGATCCCTGTAGTTTTGGGGCTGTATCCCTGTATTTTTAAGGTGTATCCCTGTATTTTGGGCTGTATCCAGGCATTTTTGGGGCTGTATCCAGGTATTTTTGGGGTGTATCCAGGTGTTTTTGGGGCTGTATCCCTGTATTTTTGGGGCTGTATCCAGGTGTTTTTAGGGGTGTATCCAGGCATTTTTGGGGGGTATATTCCTGTATTTTGGGGCTGTATCCAGGTATTTTAGGGGTGTATCCAGGTGTTTTTGGGGCTGTATCTCTGTATTTTGGGGCTGTATCCAGGTGTTTTTGGGGGTGTATCCAGGTATTTTTGGGGCTGTATCCGTGTATTTTTGGGGCTGTATCCCTGTATTTTTGGGGTGTATCCAGGCATTTTTTTGGTTGTATCCAGGTGTTTTTGGGGCTGTATCCCTGTATTTTTGGGGTGTATCCAGGCATTTTTGGGGCTGTATCCCTGTAGTTTTTGGGTCTGTATCCCTGTATTTTTGGGGCTGTATCCCTGTATTTTGGGGGTGTATCCAGGTGTTTTTGGGGCTGTATCCAGGCATTTTTGGGGCTGTATCCCTGTATTTTGGGGGCTGTATCCAGGTGTTTTTTGGGCTGTACCCCGGCATTTTTTGGGGCTGTATCCAGGTGTTTTTGGGGCTGTATCCCTGTATTTTTGGGGTGTATCCAGGCATTTTTGGGGCTGTATCCAGGTGTTTTTGGGGGCTGTATCCAGGTATTTTTGGGGCTGTATCCAGGTATTTTTTGGGGTGTATCCAGGTGTTTTTGGGGTTGTACCCCGGCATTTTCACCCCCCCTGCCCCCCCCCTGTACAGGTATTACTACAACAAGCGGATCCTGCACAAGACCAAGGGCAAAAGATTCACCTACAAATTCAACTTCAACAAACTCGTCCTGGTCAACTACCCCTGCCTGCACCTGGGGCTCGCAGGTACGGGGGAGGGGGGCTCAGGGGGATTGGGGGGCCAGGTGAGCTCATCAACTACCCCTGCCTGCACCTGGGGCTCGCAGGTGACGGGGGAGGGGGCTCAGGGGGGAGGGGGAGGGGGCTCAGGGGGGTTGGGGGGCCAGGTGAGCTCAGGGGGTGCCCAGGTGGAATCAGGGCATTGTCCAGGGGTAGCCAGGGGAGATTGGGGTGTGCTCAGGGTGTGTCCAGGTGTGTCCAGGTGTGCTCAGGGTGCATCCAGGGGAGCTCAGGGTGTATCCAGGTGGACTCAGGGCACACTCAGGGGTATCCAGGTGTACTAAGGGTGTATCCAGGTGTGCTGTGGGCATGTCTAGGTGTGCCCAGGTGTGCCCAGGTGTGCATGGGGTGAGCTCAGGGTGTATCCAGGTGGGCTCAGGGCATGCTCAGGTGTATCCAGGTGTATCCAGGTGTGCTGTGGGCATGTCCAGGTGTGTCCAGGTGTGCCCAAGTGTGCTCAGGGTGGGCTCAGGGGCATGTCCAGATGTATCCAGGTGGGCTCAGGTGTGCCCAGGTGTGCCCAGGTGTACTAAGGGTGTATCCAGGTGTGCTGTGGGCATGTCCAGGTGTGCCCAGGTGTGCCCAGGTGTGTCCAGGTGTACATGGGGTGTGCCCAGGTGTATCCAGTGTGCATGGGGTGGGCTCAGGGTGTGCCCAGGTGTGTCCAGGTGTGCCCAGGTGTGCCCAGGTGTGCTCAGAGTGTGCCCAGGTGTATCCAGGTGTGTTCAGGTGTATCCAGGTGTGCATAGGGTGGGCTCAGGGTGTGCCCAGGTGTACTCAGGATATGTCCAGGTGTGCTCAGGGTGTGCTCAGGTGTGCCCAGGTGTGCATGGGGTGGGCTCAGGGTGTGCTCCAGGGTGTATCCAGGTGTATCCAGGTGTGCATGGGGTGTGCCCAGGTGTTCATGGGGTGTGCCCAGGTGTGCTCAGGGTGTGCCCAGGTGTGCCCAGGTGTGCATGGGGTGTGCCCAGGTGTGCCCAGGTGTGCATCAGGGTGTATCCAGGTGTTCATGGGGTGTGCCCAGGTGTGCCCAGGTGCCCGTGGGTGCCCCCCTGACCCCCGTTTCCCCCACAGGCCCCCCGCTGCCGCAGAGCGCCCCCGCTGCCCTCGGGGGGTCCCACTCCGCTTCCCGCCCCTGGGCGGCCCTCCCCCTCCGAGGCGCTGTCGCCCCCTCCCCCCAGCGCTCCCCGGGGGCGGGGCCCCCCTGCTGGGCCCTCCCCCTCGCCCTTCCCGCGCCGTTTGGGGTCCCTGAGCGACGGCCCGAGGAGCCTGAGGAGCCCCCGGGGACCCCTGCCCCCCGCGCTGCCCCCGCTGCCCCCACGGCCCCCTTCCGGCCCCTCCCCCGCCCCGCCTGCCCCCGAGGGGCTGTTCCGCCTACTACCCCCGCGAGGCCCCCTGAGCCCTTCCCCCGCAGTCCCCGCTGGGCGGGGGGAGGGGCGGCCCAGGGGCTCCTGCCCCCGCTGTCCCCGATGCTGCCCCTCACCCCCAGGTGGGCTACTGCTCCTCCCCACCCTCAGCCCGCTCTTCGCCGGGGGCTCTGAGGGGGCTCGGGGGGCTCTCTGGGGGCTCTCGGGGGCTCCCACTTCTCCTTCTCGGCCGAGGACCTGCAGCGCGCTGGCGGCGCAGACCCGCAGCGTGCTCAGCTACCACCTGAGCCCCCGCGCCTTCCTGCCCTGCCCCCGCCTTCCTCCTGCCCCCCGCGCCCCCGGGAGACCCCCGCGCCCCCGCGCCCTTCCCCTTCAAGCTGCAGCCCCCGCCCGACGCAGGCAGCGCCACGGGGGAGGGGCGCCTTCATCATCGTCATCATCATCGTCATCATCGACGCACACCCGGGGGCGCGGAGGGGCCCCCTGCCTCCCAGCCCCCCACATCAAGGTGGAGGCGGTGTCGGAGGAGGAGGAGACGGTGGAGGTGACGGAGCTGAGCGAGGAGGAGGAGGAGGGGGGAAGAGGAGGAGGAGGAGGAGGAGGGGAGGAAGAGGAGGAGGAGGAGGAGGAGGAGGAGGAGGAGGAGGGGAGGAAGAGGACGAGGTGTTCGCCCCGCCCTCTCCCGCCCCCGCAGCCCCTCGCGCGCCCCCGCGCCCAGGGAGCCCCTCAAGCTGCGCTCCAGGCGCTGGAGGGCGGGGGGAGGGAGGGGAGGGGAGGGGAGGCTCCCGCGGGGGAGGGGGCAGGAGCTCCAAGGGCCACGGCCCAGCTGTCCCTCGAGTCATAAATGGGGGGTGAGAATTTGGGCGCCCCTCCCACTGCCTTAACGGGAGGGGGAGGGGGAAGTTCAGGCGCGCCCCTCCCCCTTCGCCGCTCAATTTGGGGTTCCCTCCCCCACCCCGGGGGCGGGGCTTGATTTGGGACCCCTCCCCACCCCCAGGGAGGTGATGTGGGTTTTTTTGGGGGTCCCGGTTTTATGCAGGATTGGGCCCTCCCCACTCCGGGGGCACAGGTTGGGGGAGGGGTCAGGACCCTCCCCTTTCTCGATTTTAGGGCTGCCTTGTGGGGGGAGGGCTTTTAAAGGGGGGACCCCAGGGAGCCCCTGAGAAACAGGTGAAACCCCCAAAAAAATGGGGAGGGGCTGAAACAGGGACGGGACCCCCTGGAAGTGGGGGGGGACCCCTAAAAATGGGGGGGGGACCCCCCCTGGAATGGGAGTGGGACCCCCCAAAAAAAAGTGGGTGGGACTCCCAAATCTGGGTGCGACTCCCCAAAATATAAAAACGGGTGAAACCCCAAAAAAAAACCAGGGGCGGGGGACCCCAAAGGGGTCACGACCCCCTTCCCAAAAAACGGGCTCTGAAGCACAAAAATTGCGGAGTTTTGTCCCCCAAATGCAACGCGGGGGGAGGGGCCGCCGGCACAGCCCCTCCCCCACCCCCCGGGGGGTCGCCTCCCCCTTTTTGGGGGGTCCCTTGTACAAAACGCTTCGTGTAACCAAAAATGGGGGTGGGCGGGGGGCCCGGCCTCACGAGGGAGGGGCGGGTTTGGGGGGGCAGGGGGGGTTGGGGGTCTCCAAGTGCCTGTCGATGAATCTGTCCAGGAGGGGGAGGGGGCTGGCCTGCGGCCCCCAAACACCCCCAGAATGGGGGAGGGGGGTCCTCAGCCGAGATTGTCGCCCCTCCCCCGCCCCCCGTGTCCCCCTCGCCCCGGGGTGTCCCGGGGAGGGGTCGCTCAGGGCCCCCCTTTTGTCCCCCTGCGGGGTGGGGAGGAGCAGAGCCCAGGTTGGGGGTTCGGGGCGTGGCGGGGGAGGAGGAGGGGAGGGGTCTCTCCGAAGCCTTATTGACACGTGTAAATAGGGGGCGGGGGCACTCCGAGAATGTATCAGAATGCAGAAATAACCAATAAAGATTTCACACTTGCGGCGCCTCCGACGCGAATCCCACCGAGACCCCCCCCAAGGTGTCCCCGGCACCCCCCAAATTCCCCCCCCAGAAGCCTCCAGAGGGGTTCCAAAAAGTCCCCGCACCCGCCGGGGGAGCCTTCGGGCTCCTTCCCGGCGCTTAGGCCGCACTTCCGGCTTGGCTGCCGCCGTTGCTTAGCAACGACCAATCAGCGGCCGCGGGGCGTTGCTAAGCGATAGCCAATCAGCTTTGGAGACTTTGCGGGCGTTGCTAAGCGACAGCCAATCAGCTTTACAGGCCGTGTGAGCGTTGCTAAGCGACAGCCAATCAGCTTTGGAGACTTTGCGGGCGTTGCTAAGCGGCACCCAATCAGCTTTAGCGCCTCTGTGGCCGTTGCTAAGCGACAGCCAATCAGCGGCGCTTTCCCTTTTCCGGGTTCTTCCCATGGTGCCCCGCGCGCGGCCTTGCCGCGCCCCCCGCCCGCTCCGACCCCTCCCGGGACCCCCCCGGGACTTTGGGAACCCCCAAAGGCACCCCCGGTCCTGCCGGAGCCTCCGCGGGACCCCCCCGGGACCCCCCGGGGACCCCCCGGACCAGGAACCCCCCCGAGCGCCCCCGGAGGCCTCCACAGGCCTTGGAGACCCCCCCCGGGTTTGGGGCTCCTCGGGGCCGTTTCTGAGGGTCCCGGGACCGTTTTTGGGGGTCCCGGGGCCGTTTTTGGGGGTCTCGGGACCGTTTTGGGGCCGTCCCGGCTCTGGTTTGGGGTTTTTTTTGGGGAGCCGTTCCCACCAATCAGCGAGCGCCAAAGGCGGGGGGGCGGGGCCTCCCTTCAGCCCCGCCCCCTTTCCCTGTCCCTGCGCACGCGCAGCGCTGGGGGGAGGGGCGAGGCCCCCGCACGTGTCCCGACACGCGGCCCGGCACGTGCGGCCGCACGCGGGGGCGGGGCCTGCCCGGGGGGCGGGGTTTGGGGCGGGGCCGGGCTCGAGTTGGCCCTGCCCTCCGCGAGCTGCCGGAACCGCTCCGGCCCCGCCCCCCCGGGAAAAAGGGGAAAAAGGGAAAAGAGGATAAAGGGGGCTCTGAGACCCCCAGAATGAACAGGGACCATCCTCGGGTGCAAAGGGACCCCCGAAGGGACCCCCCAGGGGCTCAGGGACCCCCAGCAGGAACAGGGACCCCCACAAAGCACAGAGACGCCTCCCCCGCACCCCTCCTCAGGACCCCTGTGAGACACAAAGACCCCCAACAAAGGTCCTGAGGTCCCTCCTCAGGACCCTCCCAGCCCCCAGGACACCCCAAAACCCAGACACACCCACCCCACCCCCGGGACACAGAGACCCCTCCAGGGGCACTGAGGCCCCCAGACACGGGGACTCCACAAAATCCCTTCCCAGGAACCCCCAAAACCCCCAACCCGCCTCCCCCGTACTCACCCTCCCCCAGACACGGGACACACCCCCCACCAAAACACCCTCCAGGACCCCCAAAACGCCGAGAACCAACCCCTGTACCGACCCCCCCCAGACAGGGGAACCCCCCAAAACCCCTCCCAGGACCCCCCAAAACCCCTTCCCAGGACCCCCCCCTCCCAGACCCCAAACCCCTCCCAGGATCCCCAAAACCCTCCTGGGACCCCCAAACCCCTCCCAGGATCCCCAAACCCTCCCAGATCCCCCAAACCCCGAGATTCCTCTCTTGCCCCTCCCCCCGTTGTGGGCGTGTCCCGAGCGGGAGGAGGCCCCGCCCCCGCACGTGGGTCACGTGGGCGCAGCGCGGCGGCCGCGTGTGGCGGGAGGGGCGGGGCGAGGGCGGGACGGGGCGTGGGCGTGGGGCGTGGCGTGGGCGTGGCCGCGCGCGGGGAGGGGGCGGCGCGTGCGCGGAGCCATCGAAGGTGCCAGAAGGCTCCGGAGCGGAGGAGGCGGCGGAGCCGGTGAGGGACTCCGGGGGCGGATCTGAGGAGAGACCCCGGGGGGCGGATCTGAAGGGAGAGACCCCCGGGGGGGGCGGATCTGAGGGGAGAGACCCCCGGGGGGGGCGGTTTGTGAGGGGAGAGACCCCCGGGGGGGATCTGAGGGGGTTCGAGAGGAGAAACCCCTCCTGAAGGAGTCTCTGAGGGGATTTGGGTTGATTCGTGAGGGGAAACTCCCCCTTGAGGGGGCTCTGGGGGGATTTGTAAGGAGAACTCCCCCCTTGAGTGGGATCTGACGGGACTCTGGGGCGATTTCGTGAAGGGGAGACCCCTGGAGCGGGATCTGAGGGAGATTCTAGGGGGCGGTTCGTGAGGAGAGAACCCCCTTTGAGGGGGATCTGAGGGGGTTCGTGAGGGGAAAGGCCTCCCTTGAGTGGGATCTGAGGGGATTTGGGGCGATTCGTGAGGAGAAAACCCCCCTTGAGGGGGATCTGAGGGGATTTGGGGCGATTCGTGAGGGGAAAACCCCCCTTGAGGGGGATCTGAGTGGGTTTGGGGCGGTTCGTGAGGAGAAAACCCCCTTTGAGGAGGATCTGAGGGGGTTCGTGAGGGCAGAGACTCCCCCCGAGGAGGTTCGTGAGGGGAAACCTCTCCCGGGGGGAGCTTTGGGGGGATCTGAGGGGCTTCGTGAGGAGAAAACCTCCCTGGAGGGAGATCTGAGGGGATTTGTGAGGGGAAACTTCCCCTTGAGGGGGATCTGAGGGGATTTGGGGCGATTCGTGAGGAAAAATCCCCCCTTGAGGGGGCTCTGAGGGGGTTCGTGAGGAGAAACTCCTTCTTGAGGGGGCTCTGAGGGGATTTGTGAGGAGAAACCCCCTCTTGAGGGGGCTTTGAGGGGATCTGAGGGGGTTCGTGAGGGGAAAACCCCCTTCCATGAGGGAGTTTGTCAGAACCTCCCGTTTTTGGGAGGGGTGGGGCAGCTGACAGTGGTGACGTTTCGCTGAGGACCGAGTCTCGGGGGGGCTCCCAGGACCATTTGGGGGTCTCAGATCCCCTGTTTTGGGGAGGGGGGAGGTGACACATCTCAGGGCCGAGTCTCGGGGGTGCTCTGACCAGGGGGATCCTATTTTGGGAGGGGGTGACCTCCCAGCCCCCTAGGCCTTTTTACTGCCCCTCAGGTGCCCCCTCCTCGTCGCCCGCCCCCCACCGTGGAGTCGCTCCGAGCCCTCTCCCAGCTCCACTCCCCCGCCGAGGGGGACGGCGACCCCCGGCCCCCGGGCCCCCGATGGCCCGGACGGCCTGGGAGGAGGAGGAGTGCCTGGACTATTATGGGATGGTGTCCCTGCACCGGCTCTTCGAGGTGGTGGGGGCCCAGCTGACCCCCAGCGACGTGGCCGTGCTGTCCTTCCTGCTGGACGAGACCCCCCCCTCGGCCGAGCCCCCCGCAGGCCGAGCCCGACGGGGCCGCCCCAGACCCCCCCTCCGCACCCAGGGACCCCCGGGGGGCCGCGGGGCCCCCCCGGAACGGGCTGGAGCTGCTGCTGGAGCTGGAGAGGAGGGGGCTGTGCCACGAGGGGGACCTGGGGCACCTGCGGCAGCTGCTGCGCCTCGTCACCAGGCACGACCTGCTGCGCTGTGTCACCCTCAAGAGACCTCGACCTGGTTAGTGTCACCTTCCTGTCACCCCTCTGTGTCACCCCTGTCACCCCCCTGTATCACCTCTGTCACCCCCTGTGTCACCTCCCGTCACCCCCACACCCCGTCACCAGGCACGACCTGCTGCGCTGTGTCACCCTCAAGAGACCTCGACCTGGTTAGTGTCACCTCCTTTTAAAACCCTTGTCACCTCCTGTGTCACCTCCCTGTGTCACCTCTGTCATCTCTGTCACCTCCCTGTCACCCCCACACCCCGTCACCAGGCACGACCTGCTGCGCTGTGTCACCCTCAAGAGACCTCGGCCTGGTTAGTGACAGCCCCCTGTCACCCCCTGTGTCACCCCTGTCACCTCCCTGTCACCCCCACACCCCGTCACCAGGCACGACCTGCTGCGCTGTGTCACCCTCAAGAGACCCCGGCCTGATCAGTGACAGCCCTGTCCTCTGTGTCACCCCTGTCACCCCCTGTGTCACCCCTGTCACCTCCCTGTCACCCCCACACCCCGTCACCAGGCACGACCTGCTGCGCTGTGTCACCCTCAAGAGACCCCGACCTGGTTAGTGACACCCCCCTGTCACCCCCCTGTCACCCCCTGTGTCACCCCTGTCACCTCCCTGTCACCCCTGTCACCCCCTGTCACCCCTGGTCACCCCCTGTCACCTTCCTGTCACCCTCACACCCCGTCACCAGGCACGACCTGCTGTGCTGTGTCACCCTCAAGAGACCCCGACCTGGTTAGTGACACCCCCCTGTCACCCCCTGTGTCACCCCTGTCACCCCCCTGTCACCCCTGTCACCCCCCTGTCACCCCTCTGTGTCACCCCCTGTGTCACCCCTGTCACCTCCCTGTCACCCCTGTCACCCCCCTGTCACCCCCCTGTGTCACCCCTGTCACCTCCCTGTCACCCTCACACCCCGTCACCAGGCATGACCTGCTGTGCTGTGTCACCCTCAAGAGACCCCGGCCTGGTTAGTGACACCCCCTGTCACACCTCTGTGTCACTCCTGTCACCCCCACACTGTCCCAACCAGGCAGGACTTGCTCTGCTCTGTCACCCTTAAGTGGCTCTGGCCTGGTCAGTGTCACCCCTGTCACCTCCCAGTGTCACCTCCCAGTGTCACCTCCCAGTGTCACCCCCACCCCGTGCTGTGTCACCCCTGTGTCACCCCCACACCCTCCTGACCAGGCAGGACCTGCTCTGCTGTGTCACCCTCGAGTGGCCCCGGCCTGGTCAGTGCCACCCCTGTCACCTTTGTCACCTCCCTGTCACCCCTGCCATCTCACTCGTGTCACCTCCCTGTGGTTTGTTGTGACCCCACCACTGTTCTCTCTTGTCTTTGTCCCCCCACTGTCACTGTCACTCCTTGTGTCACCTCCCTGTGTGCCCCCCCTCCTGTGACCCCTTAGTGACCCCTCTGTCCCCCTTTGTCACCCCCCCGTGTCTCCCCTCCTGCTGTATCCCCTGTCACCCCAGTCCCCCATTTGTCACCCCCTGTCCCCCCAATGCCACCCCTTTGTGTCTCCTCAGTGCCCCCCACCCTGTCACCCCACTGTGCCCCCTCTGTCCCCCAATGCCACCCCTTTGTGTCCCCTCAGTGCCCCCCCATCCTGTGCCACCTCTGCCCTCCCTGTCCCCAGTGCCACCCCTTTGTGTCCCCTTGTGGTGTCACCCCAGAGTTACACCTTGTCACCCCTTATCCCCCCATGTCATTTGGGACTGTCCCCCACGTCCCCCATGTCCCTGGGGGTCTCACAGGGTCTCTCCTGTCCCTCAGTGTCCCCTCCCCCATGTCCCTGGGGGTCTCACGAGGGTCTCTCCTGTCCCCTCAGTGTCCCCTCCCCCCCATGTCCCCCTCCATGTCCCCCCCATGTCCCTGGGGGTCTCACGGGGGTCTCTCCTGTCCCCCCCATGTCCCTGGGGGTCTCACGGGGGTCTCTCCTGTCCCCTCAGTGTCCCCTCCGTGTCTCTGGGGGTCTCACGGGGGTCTCCTCTGTCCCCTCAGTGTCCCCTCAGTGTCCTCTCCCCCCCATGTTCCTGGGGGTCTCACGGGGGTCTCTCCTGTCCCCTCAGTGTCCCCCATGTCCCTGGGGTCTCACGGGGGTCTCTCCTGTCCCCTCAGTGTCCCCTGCAGTCGCGTCCCCTGCGGGCCCCACCATGGGGGCACCTGCCGAGCCCCCTCGGCCCCGCCCGAGCACTGGGAGACCGGTGAGTGCTGGGGGCTGGGGGGCTTTGGGAGGCTTGGGAGGGTTTGGGGGCTGGGGGTCACTTTGGGGGCTCCTTGGGAGGCTGGGGGTCCCTGTGGGGTCACTGTGGGGTGCTGGGGGGTATCCGGGGGTCCCTGGGGGTCCTTTGAGGTCCCTGGGAATCCTTGGGGGTCCCTGGGGGTCCTTGGGGATTCCTGAAGGTCCATGGGGGTCCTTGGGGGTCACTGTGGGGTCCTGGGGGTGCTCTGAGGGGTCACTCCTGGGGGTCCCTGTGAGGTCCCTGGGGATCCTTGGGGGTCCCTGGGGGTTGCTCTGGGGGTCCCTGAGGGTGCCTGTGGGGTCCTGGGGGTCCCTGTGGGTGCCTGTGGGGTCCCTGGGGGTCGCTCTGGGGGTCCTTGGTGGTCACTGTGGGGTCCTGGGGGTCTCTGAGCCCCCGGGGGTCACTCTGGGGGTCCCTCTGGGGGTGTCCTGGGGGTCCCCCTGGGGTCCGTCCCCGTCCCTGACCCCGTTTCCCCGCAGGTTCGAGCTCCGGAGCGGAAGCGAAGCCCCGGAACACGCGGAGCCCCCGCAGAGCCCGCCGGCCCCTCCCCACAGAGACCCCCGGGACCCCGGAGCCCCCGGCCAAGGTCACCTGCGGTACGGCCCTCCCCACCCAAATGGGAGAAATCCCAAAATCACCTATGGGGCCCTCCCCACCCAAATGGGAGAAATCCCCTGGTTTGGGCAAAAATCACCTATGGGACGGCCCCTCCCCACCCCAAAATGGGGAGAAATCCCCCAGTTTGGGCAAAATCATCGGTGGGACGGCCTCCCACCCCCTTGGGGCAAAATCCCGGTTTGGGACAAGAATCACCTGCGGACTGACCCTCCCCACGCTTTGTGGGAAACTCCGGTTTGGGCAAAATCACCTGAGGTACAGGCCAGTCCCGACACCCTTGGGCAACATCCGGTTTGGGCAAAGACCAGCTGAGGGACTGGCCCTCGCCACGCACTGGGAGAGACCCCAGAATCACCTGGGATTGGGCCCCCCCCAGGCCCTCTGGGACAGACCAGTCTGAAACTGGGAGCACTGGGGACTGACCAGTCTGGGACTGGGAGCACTGGCAGAGACCAGTGTGGAGCTGGGAGCACTGGAGACTGACCAGTCTGGAACTGGGAGCACTGGGACAGACCAGTGTGGAACTGGGAGCACTGGGACAGACCAGTGTGGGACTGGGAGCACTGGGGACTGACCTGTCTGGAACTGGGAACACTGGGAACAGACCAATGTGGAACTGGGAGCACTGGGACTGACCAGTGTGGGACTGGGAGCATTGGGGACAGGCCAGTATGAAACTGGGAGCACTGGGACAGACTAATGTGGGATTGGGAGCACTGGGAGAGACCAGTGTGGGATTGGGAGCTCTGGGACAGACCAGTGTGGGACTGGGAGCACTGGGGACTGACCTGTCTGGAACTGGGAACACTGGGGACAGATCAGTATGAAACTGGGAGCACTGGGGACAGACCAGTGTGGAACTGGGAACACTGGGACAGACCAGTGTGGAACTGGGAGCGTTGGGGACTGACCAGTATGAAACTGGGAGCACTGGGGACAGACCAGTGTGGAACTGGGAGCACTGGGGACAGACCAGTCTGGAACTGGGAGCACTGGGCGAGGGGGACGTAAACAGGAAGCGGGAGGGTTGAGCCCCCATCCCTGCCCAGGAACTGGGCATACTGGGAGCACTGGGCAGACTGGTTTGTGGCTGGGGGGGACTGGGACAGTCATTGCGGATCAGGAGCTGGGCATACTGGGAGAACTGGGCAAACTGGACCTGGACGTGGAATTCCAGGGCTTGGAAGCAACTGAGTCACTGGGCAGAGGTGGGAACTGGGGATACTGGGGATACTGGGGAGTGTGCTGGGTGTTCTGTCCTGCTCTGTACTGGTCAGTACTGGTCCATACTGGTCCATACTGGTGTGTTTCACAGAGATCAGACTCCTTGTCCATGTTGAGCACTGCGAGCACGAGTGGGCCCTGCACTGGGGGCTGGGCTGGGCAGGGACTGGGGTTACTGGGAGCACTGGGGATGTGCCTGGTGTCCCGTACTGGTCTGTAATGGTCCATACTGGTCCATAATGGTTATCCTGGTGTGTTTTACAGACATCAGGCTCCGTGTCCGTGCCGAGTACTGCGACCACGACCGTGCCCTGCGCCGGGGGGTGTTGTGGAGCAGGGACTGGGGGCACTGGGGGTGTGCTGGGTGTCCCGTAGGGGTCCATACTGGTCCATACTGGTCCATAATGGTTATCCTGGTGTGTTTTACAGACATCAGGCTCCGTGTCCGTGCCGAGTACTGTGACCACGACCGTGCCCTGCGCCGGGGGGTGTTGTGGAGCAGGGACTGGGGGCACTGGGGGTGTGCTGGCTGTCCCGTATTGCTTTGTACTGGTCTGTAATGGTCCATACTGGTCTGTAATGGTTATCCTGGTGTGTTTTACAGACATCAGGCTCCGTGTCCGTGCCGAGTACTGTGACCACGACCGCGCCCTGCGCCGGGGGGTGTCGTCGAGCCGCCCGCGGGGGCCGGGCCGGCAGCTGGACGTGTTCGGGCAGGCCTCGGGGGTGCTGAAGGCGCGGGATTTGGGCTCCATCCTGTGCGACATCAAATTCTCGGAGCTGTCCTACCTGGAGGCTTTCTGGGGCGATTACCTGAGCGGGGCCCTGCTCGAGGCCCTCAAGGGCGTCTTCCTGACCGAGGGGCTGCGCCGCGCCGTGGGCCGCGAGGACGTGCGGCTGCTCGTCAGCGTCGACCAGGACGACTACGAGGCCGGCAGGAGGCTCCTCATCAGCGCAGGACAGGGACAGGGATGGGGACAGGGACAGGGAATGGGGGCACAGGGGGGACAGAGGGGACAGGGACGAGGGGGATAGGGATGGGACAGGGACAGGGGGACAGGGACACAGGGGACAGGGGGACAGGGACAGGGACAGGGATGGGCAGGGACAGAGGGGCAGGGGGACAGGGACAGAGGGACAGGGACAGAGGGGACAGGGGATGGGGGACAGAGGGGGCAGGGGGGACAGGGACAGGGACAGGAACGGGGACAGGGGATGGGACAGGGACAGGGAATGGAGCAGGGACAGGGAATGGGGCAGGAAATGGGGCAGGGTGGCACAGGGACAGGGGGCACAGGGGATGGGAATGGGAGAGGGACAGGGAATGGGGCAGGGACAGCGACGGGGGGGACACGGACAGGGGATGGGGATGGGACAGAGACAAGGACAGGGACAGGGACAGGGAATGGGGCAGGGACAGGAGATGGGACAGGAACAGGGGATGGGACAGGGACAGGGGGCACACGGACAGGGACAGGGAATGGGAGAGGGACAAGGACAGGGAATGGGGCAGGAAATGGGGCAGGGGGCACAAGGACAGGGACAGGGACAGGGGGTGAGCAGGAGGGACCCAGCGGGGCCAGGGGCAGGGCAGGGGCAGGAAGGGCAGGGCAGGGCCCCGGGGTGAGGGGAGGGTGAAATGGGGAGGAGGAGGAGGAGGAGGGGGAGGGAGTGGGAGACCCCCAACCTCAGTGAGGGGGGGAGGGGGAGTTGGGGGTGCTCAGGAAAGGGTGGAGTCAGCACTGGGGGCACTGGGGGAACTGGGAGCCCCAGTAACCAGTGCAGTGTCCCAGTGTGGCCACTGGGGGTACTGGGGGAGCTGGAACGCACCAGTAAGGGGTGGAGTCTGTACTGGGGAGCACCCAGTAAGAGGGTGCAGTGTCCCAGTGTGGCCACTGGGGGCACTGGGACCCCCCCAGTAAGGGGTGGGATGGTCACTGGGAGCACTGGGAACCCCCCAGTAAGGGGTGAGGTGGTCATGGGACCCCCCCAGTAAGGGGTGGGATGGTCACTGGGAGCACTGGGACCCCCCCAGCAAGGGGTGGGATGGTCACTGGGACCCTCCCAGTAACCAGTGCAGTGTCCCAGTGTGGCCACTGGGGGCACTGGAGAGACCCCCCCCCCAAATTAAAGGGGTTCGATGTCCCCCCTGGGGCCACCCCCAAATTCCCCAATCCCCAATCCCCCAATCCCCCAAATGTCCCCAATCCCCAAATCCCCCAAATTGGGGTCGGGGGGTAAAACCGAGGGGAGGGGTTTGTGACCCTCCCACCCCCAAATCTGCTCCTCCCCTCCCCCAAAACAGAGACTCCCAAACCCCTCCCCCATTTCTGCAGGTGACCCCCATTTTGGGGGTGGGGCTGTAAATATGTAAATGAGGGGGCAGGGCCGTGTCCCAGCTGGATTTTGGGGTGATGATGTCACCGGGGCGATGACGTCACCGGGGGCGAAGGAAAGGGGGAGGGGGTCGGAACCCCAAAGTGCCTAAAAATGGAGGGGAGGGGTTAAAATATGTAAATTATTCAAATTTATGTAAATAGGGGAGTTTTGGAGGGCGGGGCGGATCCGACTCTGGGGGGTTTTGTTTTTCCCCAAAAAAATTCCCGGGGGGGGGGAGGGGTCAAAGTGCGACTTTTTCTTTCCTTTTTTTTTGGAAAATTTTGGTTTCAATAAAAACTCTTGGAAAAAAAAAAAAAGATCGGGAATCTTGGGGGAGGGAGGGAGGGCGAGGGAGGGTCCTGAGGGGGCCAGTCCAGGGAAATGGGATGGGGGAATGGGGATTTATAGGGGTAAGTGGGACCCTATAGGGTTAAGGGGAGCTCTGTAGGGTTAAATGAGGCCCTATAGAGTTAAACGGGGCCCTGTAGGGTTGAGGGGGACCCTATGGGGTTAAAGGGGGCTCTATAGGGTTAAAGGGGACTCTATGGGGTTAAACAAGGCCCTATAGGGTTAACGGGGACCCTGTAGGGTTAAAGGAGCCCCTATAGGGTTAAGGGGGACTCTATAGGGTTAAAGGGGGCTCTATAGGGTTAAGGGGGCTCTATAGGGTTAAAGGAGCCCCTGTAGGGTTAAGGGGGATCCTATAGGGTTAAGGGGGCTCTGTAGGGTTAAAGGGGGCTCTATGGGGTTAAAAAAGGCCCTATAGGGTTAAGGGGGACCCTATAGGGTTAAAGGGGGCTCTATAGGGTTAAAGGGGGCTCTATGGGGTTAAACAAGGCCCTATAGGGTTAAAGGAGCCCCTATAGGGTTAAGGGGGGCTCTGTAGGGTTAAGGGGGACTCTATAGGGTTAAAGGGGCTCTATAGGGTTAAGGGGGACTCTGTAGGGTTAAAGGATCCCCTATAGGGTTAAAGGGGGCTCTATGGGGTTAAAGGGGGCTCTACAGGGTTAATGGGGACTCTATGGGGTTAAACAAGGCCCTATAGGGTTGAGGGGGACCCTATAGGGTTAAGGGGGCTCTATAGGGTTAAGGGGGACCCTGTAGGGTTAAGGGGGACCCTGTAGGGTTAAAGGAGCCCCTATAGGGTTAAAGGATCCCCTATAGGGTTAAAGGATCCCCTATGGGGTTGAGGGGCGGTGCCAGCCCAGCTGCAGCTCAGGCAGATCCATGGGGGAAGTGGGGGAGGGGGGTTAAGTGGAAAATCCATAGGGTAAGTGAAAATCCATACCCTGGCAGGGAATCCATACGGTAATTACGGGAAAATCCATCCGGGCGGCAGCGAATCCATCCCGGATGGAAACCCCGCCCGGAACCGGAACGGGGACGGGGATGGGGACGGGAATGGGAATGGGATTGGGAATGGGAATGGGGATGGGAACGGGAATGGGAATGGGAATGGGGATGGGAATGGGAATGGGAATGGGAATGGGAACGGGGACGGGAATGGGATTGGGAATGGGATAGGGGGGAATGGGAATGGGAATGAGAATGGGAATGGGAATGGGATTGGGAATGGGAATGAGAATGGGAATGGGAATGGGATTGGGAATGGGAATGGGAATGGGAATGGGAATGGGAACGGGAACGGGAATGGGAATGGGAATGGGAACGGGAATGGGAATGGGAACGGGAATGGGGATGGGGATGGGAATGGGGGGGGAATGGGAATGGGAATGGGAATGGGAATGGGAATGGGAATGGGGATGGGAATGGGAATGGGAATGGAGAATGGGAATGGGAATGGGGACGGAATGGGAATGGGAATGGGGGGAATGGGAATGGGAATGGGAATGGGATGGGGGGGGGAATGGGAACGGGAATGGGAATGGGAATGGGAATGGGAATGGGGGGGGAATGGGAACGGGGATGGGAATGGGAATGGGATTGGGGGGGGAATGGGAATGGGGATGGGGACGGGAATGGGAATGGGATGGGGGGAATGGGAATGGGAATGGGAACAGGAATGGGAATGGGAACAGGAACGGGAACGGGAATGGGAATGGGAACGGGAATGGGAGTGGGAGTGGGATGGGAATGGGAATGGGAATGGGAATGGGATGGGGGGGGAATGGGAATGGGAATGGGAATGGGAATGGGAACGGGAATGGGAATGGGAATGGGAATGGGAATGGGAACGGGGATGGGAACGGGGATGGGAATGGGAATGGGAACGTGACCCCACAGAGCCCCTCAGCACAGTGGGGCTGTAGGGGCATCTGTGGGGGATCCATAGGGGACAGGGATCCATAGGGGACAGGGATCCATAGGGGCATCTGTGGGGGATCCATAGGGGACACAACGGGATCTATAGGGGCATCTATAGGGGACAGGGATCTGTAGGGTGGGAGAGGGATCTATAGGGGTTTATAGGGATCCAGGAGGACTTATAGGGGTCAACAGGGAGGGAATCCATGGGGGGGATCCATAGGGATTTATAGGGATCCATAGGGGAGGGATCCACAGGGAGGGTGGATTTATAGAGGGGGAATCCATAGGGGAGGGATCCATAGGGATTTATAGGGATCCATAGGGGGGGAATCCACAGGGGGGGATCCACAGGGGGGGGATCCACAGGGCTTTGTGGGGCTCTCCGGGGTCCGCAGGATCCAGAGGGGATGCCGATAATAAAAACAATAATAAAAACAATTAACAAAACCAATAATAATAACAAAATAACAATAATAATAACAACAATAACAACAACAATAATAATATAAAAATAATAAAATAACACCACCAAACCAACACCAGTAACGAATTTAACTCCAAACCTGAACTCCAGCGAGGTCCCTGCTGGGCTTTGTGCCCCCCCCCCCCACCATGTAATGAATTAATTGATTTACATCCAATTAACGAACCCCCGCGGCTCTGAATGAACCTTCAACGGCCCCGACCCAGCCCCTCCGGCGGCTGCGACAGCAAATGAGCCCCAAATCTGCCCTTTTCCCACCCAAAATCCCCTCGACACCGAACAGACCCCAAATCTTCCCTTTTCTGACCCAAAATCCCCTCGACACCAAACAGACCCCAAATCTGCCCTTTTCCCACCCAAAATCCCCTCGACACCAAACAGACCCCAAATCTGCCCTTTTCTGACCCAAAATCCCCTCGACACCAAACAGACCCCAAATCTTCCCTTTTCCCACCCAAAATCCCCTCGACACCGAACAGACCCCAAATCTGCCCTTTTCCCACCCAAAACGGGACAAATCCCCACAATATCCCGACGTGTTTTGTGCTCTGTGTGATTGGAACTGGGGGTTTAATGGGGGTTTTATTCTTTGAACTCTGCATGTAATATAATATAACATAATATATTATAATATAATATAACATAATATAGTATTTTTATATATTATATTATAATATAATATTTTATATATATTATATTATAATATTATAGAATATATAACACAATATAATATAGTATTATATTATACTATTTTATGTTTATACTATAGTATTTTATATTTATAATATATACTATATTATATTGTGTTATATTATGTATTATATAATATTATAATAAAATACTATATATA